GCTTTGTTTGCATTTGAAATGTTGTGTACGATGCTTGGGAGATTATTTGAGCCTTATATTGTTCACGTGTTGCCACATTTGCTACTATGTTTTGGGGATTCAAGTCAATATGTGAGGGCGGCTACCGATGATACTGCCAGGGTTGTTATGAGCAAACTTTCAGCACATGGAGTGAAACTTGTGCTGCCTAGTTTGCTCGCGGCTTTAGAAGAGGATTCTTGGAGAACCAAGACTGGTGAGTAATTTGAATGTTGGCATAACTAAATAGCGGGCAGGATCGGCCTGGTCTCAGAATTCTAAATTTTCTGAATTTAAATATTCAGAATCATTCTCGTATACGACAATGAATTTAATGCCATCAAAAGTATATATTATTTTTTAAAAATCATAAATTTTATTTTAAGGGTCCGTTGAATTGCTCGGTGCGATGGCATACTGCGCTCCAAAGCAACTCAGCAGTTGCCTACCTAGCATAGTCCCAAAGCTCATCGAAGTTCTCAGTGACTCCCACACAAAAGTCCAAGAAGCTGGTGCAGAGGCTCTTAAAGTAATTGGAAGTGTAATCCGTAACCCAGAAATTCAAGCCATCGTACCAGTCTTATTAAAAGCCCTTCAAGATCCATCTCACAAAACAGCCACCTGTCTCCAAACCCTATTGGATACACAATTTGTTCATTTCATCGATGCACCATCTTTGGCTCTAATTATGCCAGTAGTTCAGCGAGCATTCTTGGATCGATCCACGGAGACAAGAAAAATGGCCGCACAGATTATTGGAAACATGTATTCTTTAACCGATCAAAAAGATTTAACTCCATATTTACCAACAATTATTCCTGGACTGAAAACAAGTTTATTGGACCCTGTGCCAGAAGTGCGCAGTGTCTCTGCAAGAGCACTGGGTGCCATGGTGAGAGGAATGGGAGAATCCAGTTTTGAAGATCTTCTTCCATGGCTGATGCAAACGCTTACTTCTGAAACGAGCAGTGTGGATCGCTCAGGTGCTGCGCAGGGTCTCTCAGAGGTTGTTCGAGGCCTTGGTGTAGAGAAACTGCACAAACTCATGCCAGAAATTATCAGCACAGCAGAAAGGACTGACATAGCTCCTCATGTCAAGGATGGATACATCATGATGTTCATTTATATGCCAAGTGCATTCACTACTGAATTTACACCGTACATTGGACAAATTATTAATCCTATTTTAAAAGCGCTGGCTGATGAGAACGAGTATGTTCGCGAGACAGCACTCAGAGCAGGCCAGCGCATTGTCACACTTTATGCTGACTCTGCAATTATGTTATTATTACCTGAATTAGAAAAAGGTCTCTTCGATGACAATTGGCGTATCAGGTATTCATCGGTGCAGTTGCTTGGAGATTTATTGTACAGAATCTCTGGAGTATCTGGGAAGATGTCTACCGAAACAGCAAGCGAAGATGATAATTTCGGTACGGAACAATCTCACTATGCTATTATCAATGCACTTGGCGCGGAAAGAAGGAATCGTGTTCTGGCTGGATTGTATATGGGCAGGTCTGATGTTGCACTGATGGTTCGTCAGGCTGCCCTTCATGTATGGAAAGTTGTTGTTACGAATACACCAAGGACACTGAGAGAAATATTGCCTACGTTGTTCACTTTATTATTGGGCTGTTTGGCGAGTACCAGTTATGATAAGAGACAAGTGGCTGCTAGGACTTTGGGAGATCTTGTTAGGAAACTGGGGGAGAGGGTATTGCCAGAGATTATACCTATTTTGGAGAAAGGCTTGCAAAGTGATCAGGCTGATCAAAGGCAAGGTGTTTGTATTGGATTGTCGGAGATTATGGCGAGTACCAATAAGGATATGGTGTTGACGTTTGTTATCAGTTTGGTTCCAACAGTGAGGTAAGTATTTCTTTTTAATAGGAAAGTAATGGTGTAATTAGAAGGGGCAGGGTAGACCCGGACGCAAAACGATATGAATCGCTGTGAAAAATTTTCAGAAATTCCCCTGGTTACACTTATGCACAAAATCATTCTTACTACTATTAAAACATAATTTAAATTTCAGGAAAGCATTATGCGATCCATTACCAGAAGTCCGCCAAGCTGCCGCGAAAACATTCGACGGTCTACACTCAACCGTAGGAGTTCGAGCACTAGACGACATACTCCCAGCAATGTTAACCCAACTAAATTCTCCGGACCAGGCAGAAGCTGAAAACACTCTGGACGGTCTTCGTCAAGTAATGGCGATAAAATCTAGAGTCGTATTGCCATACCTAGTTCCTCAGTTGACAACACCACCGGTTAATACAAAAGCATTATCAATATTGGCCAGTGTGGCTGGTGAAGCATTAACTAGATTCCTCCATAAAATCCTACCAGCATTGTTGACTGCTCTATCCAGTGCCCAAGGGACACCTAACGAAGTCCAAGAATTAGAATACTGTCAAGCAGTTATTTTATCTGTGACGGATGAAGTTGGTGTCAGAACAGTGATGGACCAGCTTATGGAGGCTACGAGAGCAGAGGATCCATCTAAAAGACGAAGCGCTGCGACTTTGCTGTGTGCTTTTTGCAGAGATACGCGTGCAGATTATAGTCAGTATGTTCCACAATTACTGAGAGGACTTATTCATTTGTTCACTGATGATGATAAGGATGTGCTACAGATGAGCTGGGAGGCCCTTACAGCAGTAACTAAAGTAATTATTTTTTAGAATAATTGAATTCTAGTTATTGTTCATGGTATTTTTAATATAATGTAAATTATGTTTATTCTTGTTAATATTTTTAGACTCTAGCATCTGATCAGCAGATAGCTCATGTCCAAGATATCAGACAAGCCGTACGCTTCGCAGTGTCTGATTTAAGAGGACAAGAATTATTACCTGGATTCTGTTTACCCAAAGGAATTACGCCAATTCTTCCAATATTCAGGGAAGCTATATTAAATGGTCTACCAGAGGCAAAGGAACAAGCAGCTCAGGGTCTTGGAGAGGTCATCAAATTAACCAGTGCAACGGCATTACAACCAAGTGTTGTTCATATTACTGGACCTTTAATTAGGATTCTTGGAGATCGATTTAATTGGAGTGTGAAAGCTGCAGTATTGGAAACGCTTGCAATCTTGCTTGGCAAGGTATGTATGTTACATAAGCGAGAAAAAAAAATGTAATTAATAATTTAATATTTTTGTTTCATTAGGTTGGAGTAATGTTAAAACAGTTTCTACCACAGTTACAAACAACCTTTTTGAAAGCGTTAAATGATAGTAATAGACAAGTGAGGTTGAAAGCTGCTTATGCTTTAAGTAATTTAATTGTTATTCATACACGTGTTGATCCTTTGTTTACGGAGCTTCATACTGGGATAAAAACTGGCGATGATCCGGCTATTAGGTAAATAGAAATATATGTTTTTGAATTCCGAAAGTTCTAGTCCCATTCTAAAAAGAAATCCTAGTTATAATAAGATATATTTGTTCTTTTAGAGAAACAATGTTACAAGCTTTAAGAGGTGTACTCACACCTGCCGGTGACAAAATGACAGAACCGATGAAGAAACAAGTCTTCGCTACTTTAAGTAGTATGCTTGGACATCAAGAAGATGTTACGAGGAATGCTGTAGCTGGCTGTTTTGGAGCACTTGTGAGATGGCTTAGTCCAGAGCAACTTGCAATTACATTTAACGATCATTTATTGTGTAAGTTTTTATTAAACATATCTCTTAGTTTCATATTTGCATTATTTCATTAACAATCTGCAGGTAACGATACCAATGTTGACTGGATGCTCAGACACGGCCGTTCAGCAGCATTGTTTGTTGCATTGAAAGAATCCCCAACAACTGTATACAATGACAAAGAAAAGGACCGTGTCTGTACTGTAATACTTTCCTATTTAGCTGCGGATAGAGTGCAGATAGTTATGAATGGTGTAAGAGCTTGTGGTTATTTGTTTCAACATTTGATGAACGAAGGGCAACCTATACCTCAACAAATACTGTCTCCATTTGTACGGGTAAGAATATTTGTGAATTCTAAATTCATAGAATATATTTTTTTTAGGAATTAAAATTTATTTATTCAAAAAATTGTATTTGTTTTAGTCAATGAACAACAATAGCAACGACGTTAAACAATTGCTAGCCAGGGTTTGCATTCATCTGGCACGTAATATACCACCTGGCAAAATGTCTCCAGAACTACTTAAGTCATTATTACCTATGTTAGTAAACGGAACAAAAGAGAAAAATGGTTATGTAAAAGCCAACAGCGAACTTGCTCTTATAGCAGTACTGAGATTGAGGCAAGGCGAAGAAGAACATCAAGTATGTATTTTTATTTCTACTTTTTATAATTATCTAGAATTGAATTGAACAAATTTTATTTCGTTTTTTCTTTTCAGCGTTGTATGGCATTCTTAGATGCAGGCGCAAGGGAATCTTTGTCGGATGTTGTTAGCAAAGTACTGCGCAAAGTTCTCTCTCAACCTGAAGGAAAAATAGAAGAACTGGACGATACATTACTCACGTGAGAGACATTGTACGTCCTGGGGCTCATTACGTACTACATCCATTTAACTAGACGTACTATCAATCATTTTTATAAAGAAACTTACTGTTCGTGTACTAGCTGCATTATAAAAATTTTAGATCACTCAACATTGTATCTCGATAATCAATTAAACAAAGTTAATTGTAACAATCGCTCGATGGCATTCAAGTTACTTAAATTAAGATGTCCTATTTACCGAGTGATTCGAACGAAACTTGTAGATACGTCTGTGAAAAATGTTTCTTATAATCACATGTTTCTTTGTTACGTGTTAAGTTCAGAACGTATGAAATTGGGATACCAGAATGGTGAGAATAATATATCAAATAAATTCAGTTTTATTGTACATCTTCTTTTCACTTATCTCACGTCTTGTGGTATCTTTTTATCGTACTATTACTTTTCAGCGGAAACATATTATTCGTATCAGGTATTACAACAGTGTATACCACTGTTTTGTACTGTAATTATATATTTATACTTTAGAATTACATAATTATAACAATTGTTGGCTAAACCATAACGACGCGATGCTTCTAGATCTATCATTAAAGCGTCTTCGTTCATAATCTTTTAATTTTTTATTTTTCTGATAATTACATTGTTCATCTTACCCACAAATTCGCGGATGTACGTATTCTGTATATATACTTTAAATACGCTACAATTTAGCGGACTAAAGTGGGATTTTATACTTTTGTATGTAAATCTTTCAAAGTTGCATCACCGTTGTTGCTCGCAGAATGTTGAATTCAATTTTCTGATAATAATATTCAATTTATCAAAATCGTTACATAAAAAAGAAAAACATACAGGACAGTCTTAAGTTATGTTCTCCTTTGAACGATTTAATGTAAAGATGCTAATTTTATAAAATACTTTATTATTATTATGATATTTAAAAATTCCTATGAAGGATAAGAAAAATGAGGGCGGTAACGTGATGGACCAGAAGTAACGCGTATATATTGTATTTTAGACAGAAAAGTGAATCCGAATCGAATTAAGTTATTCAAAAAAGAAATGATATTTATGTTTTGTTTTTATTAATTTTAAAACTTTTCCTAACCGAAGATCGTTTTATCGTTGTAAAATTTTCTATTTTCTGCAAATTATTATTTTTTTGCGACGATGCGTCTTCTGTTTCAAGTTCCTTCATTTGCAATTTTTTCTTAACGAGTAATTGTTTCGTTGCCTCCAGAATTATTTCATAAAACTCGAGAAACGTCAACTGCAATGTTAATAGTATCCGATTTTTCACATTGTAAATTATACGTAATGTCTGTAAAGTGTGCTGTATCTGTCTCAGTGACAAATGATTGAGTTTAAAAATATAGAATTTTCGCAAACTCTTTGAATATTCGTTGCTCAATTCATTTATTTTTTAACCATTAAAAGCTTAGTAAGCTTGAATAATAAAACAATACCTCATAATCCATATTAATAATCATATCAGTTTCTATATCTTTAATTGCAGGGCATATTAATGCCATAATTTCTAACAATTTCGAAGGTCCCAGTTCTCCGAACACCGACAATCCATGGGCTAAAAATTCAATTATTAAAATAAAATGAAATAATAAATTTAATTTACAAAAGCCAATATGCAATAATATTATTATAATTAAATTTACAAAATATGTTATACGTACACAGGTGATCATTTTCATCATTTCTTGAAACTTGGATTGTACACTGTGATTCCATAAAAATGTCATCAGATTTAAGTAAATAATTGATTTTTTCACCTATTATTGTACAGTTAATACCATTTGATAAGCTTTTAATAGTTTCTGTAGTTATGGAAGTTTGTGGATCAGTTGTATCTATAATGTTAAATTGAAAAACTGCTCAATTTCTGTTTTATAAAGATTACTCCTTTTTTCTATTTAACATTTACGTCTTAAGCAGATTCCGCATGCATATTGTAAAATGTACAAACGTAATTGTTCATTATTAATAAAATACTTTATAGTTGTATGTTTTGTTTTTACTCCTTTCAGTATTAAAGAATGATAGTGGAAAGTATTTCTGTTACATTTAACGTTACAAATAAAAGAATAACTGACACAATTTAAATTTACCATTTAAAACACACATAGTTTGAAGAAGATCTTTCATGGAAAATGGATATCCAATTCGTTTACATAATTTAAAAACGGCATATATAGGCAATAAATCTTGATTCTCTTGACATAAACTACCTGTCATAAAAAAAGTAAATTAATATATATATATGTATAGTTTCGGGAAAATTATAAGCTTCCCTAGGAAAAATATAATTATTTACGTACCAATATGATTACCAGTATGTGGATATATATCATTTTTCAAAAAATTATGTAAACCACCAGCAAGTTTCCCATTAATTTCCTCTGTTTCTATATCACCGAACTTCGTATACAAGTGCCACGAGACTTCTAACAGCGCATGCAAATATTGCCAAATTTCAATTTTTTCGAATGGATCATGTGGATTTTGTACAAAGGTGATTTTATTCTTTGCTGAAATTATTAACATATCCGCTGTAAATTGAACTTGGGGCGAGGGGCAGATCCACCCTTAATGACTTACCAATATAATTATCAATTTCAATTAAACTCAATCCTTTCTTATGAATACCACAATCACTCCATAATTGCCATAAACACAATCTGCTCATTGCAATATCGCATTTCGGCGCTGAATTTGTAAACAATTTTGCATAATTATTATAAATTTCTCGTAAGCGAGCCATATGTAATATTAAACAATTATGTGTCCATCGTTCTTCATATTCCCAATCAGATTTCTTTATATTATTTACAGTAAATTCAGAAACATTTGTTTCTTCTTCAACAATATCTGTCGCTTCTTTATCATTTTCATTTTGCTTTCTCGAATCTATAAAAATTTCTATATTTAAAAATAATAAATAAAAATGATATAATATTCTTAAAGTTTAGAAATTTTAAATAATCCCGAATATATCCCTGAGGAAGTCTACTGTACCCGGTAATTTACATACGTATGTATAGATATGACTGACCAATTGACTTCACTGCCAAACAGGTGCAAGATTCATTTTCACAACTGTAACATTTTCCAGATAGAATTGGTAATAATGGATGTACTTCTAAACTGTCTGGATCAAATAAACGAGTTATATAATAAGATAATGATGGAAATTGTTCTGGTTTTAAAATAGGAATTATGGGAGCTTTCTCTAATTGAGTTGATCTGTCAAGAAATCTGCAAAGGAATAAATAATAATTTTTGTTATTTTTTATTTTAAATATTCTTATTTATATGATAATATTTCTTACTGTGGTTTCATTTCTTTGATTACGCGTACACATTTTATTTCATCCTTATCCTCTAATTCATTATTTAAATCATTATCTTCGACATTAGATGTACATAATATATCGTTCAAAAATAATGGATTAGATTCAAATTTTTCCCCGTTGCTTCCTAAGTAAAATAAAAATATTTGAAATTTTTAAAAATTTATGTATTCGATTTTTGAAAAATGTTATGTTACCAATTATAACTCCATAACCATGTTTCTTATTATCCTTCCAATGTCCAAAATATTTAGCACCACCGACTGCACTTAATTTTAACTCTCCTATAATAAATATTTCATTACTATTTATCATTTAAAAGAAAAATTTAAAATTACCTTCGCCATTACGCATTCCATTCCGCCAATTACCGACATAAAGAGCTTCTTGTGGCCAAGTTAAAGTTTTATTGAAGAACGCATTCCATACATATTCTCCATAACTATAAACAAACATTACCTATATTAATGTTATATAAATGTATCAACATTATACAGTATTATACTATATTATTAGTTATTTGAGAAAAGAATTATTTAGTTTGATATATTTTTATGAGGTTCAGAAGTTTATTTACTCTTAAAATTTTGAAACCTTATCTGGTATCATCCTAATTATTGTTAAATTTAAAATTGACAAACCCATGCATCGCACCACATTTCCATTCCCCGCGATAAACATTGCCATTGGTCCAAACCATCGTTCCTCTACCATCACGAAGTCCATTCTTCCATTGACCGTAATAACTACCCTTTGTATATGTTCGTAATCCAACTCCATGCATTTTGTCCATTACCCAATCACCATCGTACGAACTATTATCACCATAACGACAGTACCTGTAAATATAAAAATATAGATTAGCAAAATTATTATATTTTATTTATATGACAAATGTTTACCCTTTTCCGTGTCGCTGACCCATATACCATATGCCAGTATACATATAGCGATTTTCTCCATCTACCATGATTCCTCTACCATGTCGATAACCATTTACAAAATCTCCCTCGTACCAACAATTACTGTTCCATTCTAATAAACCTTTCCCATGCATTCGATTTTGTTCAAAGTCTCCCTATGAAACAATGTAACTTTTAGAAGAGATTTTCTAATTACAGTAGACTCACGGTGTATTAATTATAATTACTTTGTATTGTGCACCATTTGACCATCTATAAACACCTTTCCCTTCCATCATTTTCCTACTGATGCGACCAGTGTATGTATTATTACTAATGAATTTTATATTTGCAAATTCATCGGGGGCTGTCATTTTCCAATACATATTCGAATTTGATTTAGACGTCTCTTCGTTATGTTCTTTGTAATCAGTATCATTATTTTTTAATTCATTAACGCTTTCGTTATCGTCATCAATTTTGTTTTTAGGTTTCTTTCTTAAGATTTCACCGTCCCATCTGTATAAAATAAATTATTAATTTATATATGAATATTAACGAAAGATCACTACCACTTACGCGGAATGCATACTACCATTATTATTGTAAATATACTATTTTTCTAATTTTTAATAATGTTTACATACAGTTATGAATAAAAATGAATTCGTTTTTTATATAAAGAAATGTAGTTACTCCTTTAGAAAGAATTGTAACAAATCATTGTATAGTAAAAAGGTGAACTCTTCTTCGATAGTATATTTACGACGTTTCTCTGCTAGAATATCTTCCAAAGGTAATTCTTCTATTGATTTTACATTTTCTAAATTATTTATTGTTTCTTCGGTTTCTTCCCATTCTTCCTCTTCGTCGTATGATTGAATGCGTTTAAGTTTCTTTCTACATTTATGTAGAAGAATTTCCCGTAATGTTGCGCTCATTCTTAATTACTAATTAAATAGAATATTATAATAAGTAATCAGTTAAAATTATGAACTGAACATATTTGAGAAATAATAGAAACAGAAACATGAGAATATTTTTTAAAATGTTATATGTCATATGCTACCTTCAGAGCCATTATTATTTTTTTGTAAGTTGTATTCATTGGAGAAAAGTTGCCAAATATTTTGTTATTAAAATTATAAGAGGAAAAATGTCGACAAAGGGAAAAATGAATGTAACGTTACTTCTTGTTTTATATTTCGGTATTCAGTCTTCAACTAATTGTTTAAAAATAATATAAATGATTCTTTATATTGCAGACAATTTTTCCATCTTGTGGAGATGAAGCTAAAGACTTAGAACCCATAGTTTTTCATGTTCCTGCTACTTATAGTAATAAAGTAAAAATGCATGGTTGGTAAGTATATAGATAGATATAATTATTATGTATAAACAACGATGATAATAACATTTTTGGGAAATTGTATGTATGTATTTTTCTAATGGTATCTAGTACAGTCTTGACTACAATAAAATTAGACGAAAGAGTCTTTAACGCCGGTCCCTTAGTTGGGGGTGGAATTACCCTTTTGGTTCGTTACACATAGCAACACGATTGTGACATCAATTCTGTTTATTTAGTGGGCTCTGCTACTGGTCAGAGAATTCCTGATTCCATCAATAATAAAAGGGTTATTCTTTATTATTAACTAAACAACGATTAATACCAATATCAATAATTATACAAAATTAACAATTTTCTAATAAAGTATACTCAATCTGAAAGCAAAAGAGTTATAAATAAATATTACAAATTTTCATTTTCGTTGTTAAGATAATAATTACCCTTAAGTAAGTAATTTAAAAAAAAAAAATAAAACATTTCATAAATCTTGTTTTTTTTTTCAGGCACATGGATACATTAGAAGAACCTAGGGACAATACAGACATATTTCCACCAAAAGGAAATCTTTTTAAATCATCATATAAAAGAATAGGAACAGGAGATACTCGTACAGGAATTTCCGAAACACAAGCAATGTTGTCTCAGATAGAATTGAAGGATTTATACAAACCAGTTTATCCGCAACGTACTTTACATAAGATGAGGGCTCTTGCATATGGACAGTATGTATTATGAACCTTATTTCTTTATTTACTATTTATGTACTCATTTTCGTCAAATTAAAAATTTTTAATTGATATATCATAAGTGTCATGAAATCATCTTTTAATATTTATAGGATAGAAGAAGAAAAGGAATCTACATTAACAGATTTATTATATGATTCTGAAGAAGCTAAACATATGGATTATAGAACGACACAAGAAATTCATTATAGATTACCTTATCCCATGAGGCCAAGATCATTACTACCTCCCCCACCACCAGAACCATGGTTGTTAAATAGAAGAACTATTGGTTATAGTCTTGAACAATTAGAAAAAAGGGATGGTGTAAATACATTTTTGGATGATAACATGGAGCTCCATAGGAAAATAGCTGATTTAAAAATGAGAAGGAATAAGTTACATGAAATAACATCTAAAAATTAAAAATGTTATCATTGATTTGCCAATAATCGGAAATATATAAAATTTAGAAAGTATTTTTTATAATGATATTAAATAATTTAGTTTTTTAAACAATAACAAGATGTTTAAAAGCGTATATAATAAATGATAAAAATATTATTATAACTAACCAATAATTAAATTAGTAACTAAAATTATTATAGTATTATTAGTTATATTAATATTATTAGGTATACAAACTAATTCGGTGCTTTTAATATTATCAATAATTGAATTAAAAACAAATTTCAAATTAAGAAGAAAAGAAAAGGCGCTAAATTAATTTGTACTTAATGTTTAATCATTTAATAAATTACATATATTTTCAAGGAGAACATCAGGATAATGACAAAACAACGAAATGCATCGTCGCAATGTAAAATATATTTCATCTACAGTTTGAACCAAGTATTACTTCTGCAGCAAAAACAGTGAAATACCACTGCAAATAATTTATTTATGGCACCATTAATTATTCGTGACTCCTACCGAATCGCATATGACCATAATCATCAAACTGTTCCCGTTTTCCAAATCTCATATGACCATAATCATCGAATTGTTGTCGTTTATTTATATCTAAAAAGTCATCGTCTTCTCCAAATAAATTTTCCACTGCATACCTGTTAAAGAAGAATAGTATTAGTACAAACATTTTATTCTTAGTATCTAAGTTTCTATGTTTCTATTTACTTAAACAAAATGTATTATTTCGTGTATATGTTATAGTTAAACTAAACGAGATTGTATAATTACCCTCGTAATAAAGGTCGACTACGGAACCTTCGACGCATGTTATTAACAATTTCAGGAGCTGCTTCACATTTTCCATAGAAAAACCAAATAATGGCCATAGTGAATGCCAGGGCAACAGTTAAATTCATATCTGCGAACTTAATCAAAATACATGCTAAGAATTATAGTTTTATTTTTTCTTAATGAGAACAACCGCTTTTTTTACGAAGCTTCATTTTTTAATGAATCGATGAAACGCGAAGAGGCGCCACACAGTTATAGTGGTTTTTTAAGAAATTGATTTAATCAGAAATAAAGTCTCCTGCGAGCAAATGTCACTTTACATTTTCGACTAAATAATAATAATTTCGACTTAATAGTCTCGATAGTATTTACCTGTGTGTTGGAGAATCGGAAATCGGCGGAAGAATGCACGGTCCATAGCTTCTACCGGGCTTTTTATACACGAATCCCATCATCCTTGGAAAATTCAGAGGGGAACGGTTGAGCTGTTTGAATTTTAATTCACGTACCTGTGATGTCTGATAAACAATTTTCTCCGCTTTCAATATTCCACGATGGTATTCGATGATTGGCAGCTTGAATAACCGTATTACCGTCTTAACTTGACTTGCCTTTTTGTAAGACAATAATGGCAATTTTATCGATGAAAGAAGTATGTCAGTTAGAGAAACTCTATTGTGAATTACTATTGTCAGTTTGAATAAACTTTCATTCTGTTGCTACTTTAAGTTTGCAAATTAAGAAAACGTTTATTTTTAACCCTTCGAATTATTATACAAGTTTTTGTATTATTTTGAAAATTTTTTTAACAATTATTATTTTTGTTTTTGTATAAAAAATATACAATTAATAATCGAAAATAAAAAGAACACCAATTTTGCTGATTTTACTTACAATTTTCCTTGTAAACCTTTTCCTAACTCTGATATTTAAACCAGCTATGTAACCACTCCACCCCCCCCCCCCACGTGAATACAATTTCCACAAAATCCTCAGAAATACACAGACATGAAATAGCCAAACGTCGGTACGAAGTCATGGTCACGGATTATGTCAGTCCTCAAATGGCTTCTGAAATTTTAGTGCTTCGAAGGAACGTTATATAAATCATCTGAATATCACCTTGAAGACTCACTTGTCCCTTGTCATTCCTTCTATTCGGTACCACCTTCGATGAAGGGAGTAGCACTTCCTTCGGGCCCATGACCATCAAAATGGCCGAAGACGTCGGTGTAATGCTTCAGAAGGGCTTGGCTGAATGGTGGAGCGAAGAAACGGAGTACATTTTCCAAAGGATAGAAAGATGGGCAGCATATGCCAAAGGCTACAATCGTCTGAGGTCCCAGAGATTGTCCAGAGGAAGAATGACCATGCAAGGTGGACAAGAACCTCGCTGGAGTATTTCCTCCAACAAACTCATCATCGATGACTCTTCGTGGAGTCCTCGTTTTCACACTCTGAAGAAGTCACGACGAAAGTCTCGACCCGAAGAAACCAAAATCAACTGCTGTGGCACGTTTAATTACCAATCCAATAGTAACTTGGACAGTACCTGTCTGGAGACCTACAGGTATGATCACAGTATTTACTTCAAGACAATTGGAGACATTAAAAATAGTAAAAAAGAGGCTGAAGAAGTTAAAAATGAAGAGGACAGGATTTCCATCAGCAGTGAGGAGCTGGTGGAGTGGGACGTCAACGCAGTGTCTGATTTCATCGCCAATCAGATTCTAGAGGATGGCTTTCAGAACGTTTTGGACGCTATGGACAATTCTGACCCGGGCACCGACGAAATTGGTTCTGTCACTTGGTTCAATATTGATTTATCCAAACTAGATTTGAACGAAGAGACAACTACTGTTTCAGTTGTTGATGAACAGAATAATCAAAGTAATATGAAAATGAAATTTGATATTGAAAATGAAGAAAATAATAACAATCATGTTATGGATGAGAACTTGAAGAACCAAACGCAGTTTGTGGTAGAAGATGAAGAAGATATTGAGAGATTTATTGATATTAGAAGAACGGAGCAAATTCCGATTACAGATGATCGAGTGTTCGATTGAATTGTTTTAGCTTTTTTGAAAAATATGTGCTACGTTTCGTTAACCTTCTTCAAGGTCAGATGTGTATAAATATTTGTTTGTTTTATTATATTTTGTTAGATCGGATATCAAGATACTTGCTACGTACGCCTACCGTAGATTTACGCTCTGTGAGACGGACCGTAAGTCCTGACGACGTAAATCTACCCTCTTAGATAAAAGAACCCAAAGTGGACTTCGAAAAATTGTCCCGGGCTCTATGTGTTATGGTTCTTGATACAAAATGACGGAGTTGCCTGGCGAGAGAAAATAAGAAAAATGTATTTTTATTAAAAAAGGAAATATAAAATGGGTATGAAACTAAATACTTTATTCAGTGATTTCATTTAGTAGTTTGACTCTTCAATGCTCTTGCTAGTGACAATCATGAACACAATTAATATGCTCATTCTAATTACTGATACTGATTGATATTCTAAACTAACATATCTCATAGTACCAATAAAAATTTCTATACTTAAAATTAACACTAAAATAATTTTCTTGAATTTAGAAATTTTAAATAATCCTAATTATATTGAAAATAGATATTAATAATTTCTAAGAAAGGTACAGTATTGAGCATAAACATTCTTCCCTAGGGAAAATGGCGATGTCACCCTTTCTATAGGCTTCCCCGTAGACTTCCCAGTAAGCTGGGGCTATTAACCCTTCGAGGACTCCCTTGATTGATAAACTTGGTTAGAAAATTGAAATTAAATAACATTTAATCGTAAAGAAAAAAGGTAACAGTAAAATAAATTGCATTCAATATTTTTTAACGTCTTAAATAGATGACTTATAACGCGCCCTTGCCCAATGGGGCCTGGGGTTGTAGCCCCCCTTAGATCCTCCTCTTTATGCGGCACAGCCTACAATATTTACTCCATAATATGATCGGGAGTCAATCAAGCCTTTTAAAACGAAATTGCATTTTATTCTAAATTAAAATATAACCCACCAAGGGGAATAAAGTGACCCGGTCAGCGCGCATGCACCACTGGTGGGGCAAGCCACGCACGCAACACGTAAGCTCGTGCAACCCGGCTGTAAATCGATCGTCTTCTCACTTGTTTCAAGAGAGTAGTGCGTAGTACATTTTCGAAAAACTTCATCCAAGAGTCATTGACAGAAGAATATCATAAACTAAGAGAATATAATAATGACTAAACGTTTAGAAACCGTAGCCACAATGGCTTGCATGAAGACATTGCTGATGCTGTTCAATTGTGTCTTTTGGGTGAGTGAATTGTTTCTAATGATATAATCGAATTTGACATATTTTGAGTCTTAGATGAGGAGAATGTCCTTTGAACCAACTGTTGCATACTGTATTATCATGTCAATATCGTATTGTTATTAAAATTTCATTTTTTCTTTTGTTTTTTAAATTAATGTTTATTCTTCATGTTTAATGAAGATAATTATGTAAATATGATTTTTTTAAATTTTGAGGTGAGTTTTGGAAATTGTTTATAAATGATTGGAGAATACTGTGAATTCGAAAATTAGTTGGAAGGAAATAAAAACATTTTCATAATATAGTATAAACATTATAGTATTATTTTAATTATATAAATTATATGTATAAAGAAAATTCGGACTTTCTCCACGGTCCGTCGTCCGAGGGTTAATTACATCAATAAAAAAGATTACGAAAGTATTACCTATTCTAGTAAATAATTAAAATAAAATGTTCAGTTCTGTATTTTTTATATGATATAATTATTATTGTAATTGTATCATTTGAAAAAGAAGTTTGAGTGAAATGTTAAAATCTTATAAAACAGGAACGTGTTCGAATAATATCGAAAAAAAATCTTGTTACGTAAGCATGATCTTGTTACTCTCTCCTAATATTTCAACATATGCCTATACTCCTTATGTTCCGGTATACCTATGTATATACCGTAGTAAGTAACATTATATGCCCAATTAAATGTCGATATGGAGGATACATTTACGAAGCGCTAAACTTGCTAATAAAATCTTGTAAAATCTTGTCTCAAGAAATTTTACTATTTTTAATGCAAAATATGTTACTTAATTTAACACTGTGTACATATCATAAGTAACTCTTATCAATATTTCTGTTATCAACATCCTGCTCCTACTGATATCAATACAGGACTTTCTCCACAAATCGATTGCTATAAATGAACCATCTGTTCATGTTACAAATCTTCGATAAGAAATATCTCCCAAATTGTTGATCGTTTTTAAGAGTGTGCTCTCACACCTGAATGAATCATAAAAGTTTTTAATAAATGCAATAATGTGTAGTAAGAATTAAAAATCTAGGTTTAAGTGACTTAAGTCAGTTTAAATAAGAGAAAATAATTTAATCACCATTTGTACTAATTATATAATTAAATTTTTCTTAGGTCTTTGGTATTCTGATGCTGTGTATTGGTATTTGGATGCGAATAGAACTTCGCGACTACGTTGATGTAAGCGCAGAAAGTGGAAGGGCAGCTTTATTGGCGTTAGCATGTTTAGGGGCGATTTTAACCCTGACAGCAACACTTGCCTGTTGCTGCACAACCCATGGTCACCCAGCACTTTTGTACCTGGTAAGGACCTACTTTATATTGGGTACAAATACAAAATTGCTTATAGGGCGCATGAGTGCTCGCGATGTATTCTTACTCGATACGATAGTGACAAGGCATGATTCATTCTAGTGGTTTGTGGTTGTTGCATTCCTGCCCAGAAAAGTTAATTGAAAGAAGTAAAAAAATAATTTTGCTTGCAGTATGGCGCATTTTTAGCTGTCGTTACATTATTGGAGCTTGGAGCTGGTGCATCAATCTATGCTTATCGTACCAATTTAAATGATCAGTTTGGTCAAGATTTCAACGATACCATGGCTGTATATGGACAAAATGAAAGGAAAACTGCTGACATCGACACTATACAATCTACTGTAAGTGATTAATTTAGCTACAATTAATCATATTTAAACTTACTGCAATTTTCAATTTAACTAAATTAATTATGAACATTGATCGTGTTCTATAGAATAAAGAGTCTTATAGAATCAATATAAGTTTAATCAGATAAAGCTTAAATTGATTTACAGCTTCAATGCTGTGGTAATAGGGACTACACCGATTGGTTAAAAATGGTTCCGCCAAAGGAAATTCCACGATCTTGTTGCAAAGTGCCAACTGAACAGTGTAAAACTTACGATCCGAATCAATTTTATACTCAGGTAATGTGGAAAATAGATACGCGCGCTTTCTAATCATGAGATGCGCGCACACTCTACTGCTATTAAAGGCGCCAATTTATACTACTTTGATTAATTTCAAAAAGTATTTATCTAAACTATTAATGTAAACTATCGTATCACCACCCAATCTTAACTATTTCTTTTTTTTCATCTTTTACATAATATAGTATTTTCTATTATTGTACTTCTTTTTCTGTATATTTATATATATTAGGAAAATTTATATTTTCAGGGATGCTATACCCGTGTGCTCGACTTCATAAATAGCAACATAGGTCTGGTTGCTGGTATAGCAATCGGTGTGGCTTTCTACCCTTTGGTTGGCGTTTTCCTAGCATGTTGCTTAGCCAGCAACATCAACAAAGTAAAATACGAGCAGGTTGCTTAGAATTTACGCTCACAGAACAACTCGCTGTACCAGTAAAGAGACAATCCTTCATTTTATTATTAACAACTTTTACAAATTTCATTGCAAAAATTCATTTCATGATCTTTTGTTTTTATGCATAAAATAAAGAATAGTAAGCTACTATTATTCGTTATATACATATAATCTTTTATTCTTTGATAAATACTTTTTTTCTAATCTTTTTAATAATTTGTGTGTAGCAGAATTCTAATGAATATTATAATCATTAGAATTATCATTATCATTCATATATTATTTAAGTCATTTTATTATTAAATATATGTTAATATTATATCGTTGCAAACATTTATACAAGACACAATTGCTATCTACATGTGATTGCATTAGGAAATGATAAATGCATTAGGATGATATCCACTAGATTGAGAGGGTGCAGAGGGCGCAAGTTTGTACAAAGAATGAAAATTATACGAAAAGACAAATCAGTAATGTCGAGTAAGTTATGATACTTGATATGGGATGCATTTTCTTTTAACTACTATACTTCTCTTTTTTAAATTTTATTAAATAAGTTCATGAAAATCGCATGATTTTGTATTTTGTTATCGAGTGCATATATGTAGTGTTACATTTTTATCTTTTATAATATTAGAGACATATCTTTTTTTAAGTTCAAAAATATTAAAAACGCTCAACAGGATTTAAGCTTCCTTATATTTCTTCCCAATTTTTTTTCAATTTCCTCAAATTGCTTCGAACTTCCCTTACACTTGTTCTAATATAACTTGTATATTTACTATATTTCTCTAGTATGCATTTGCATCGTATTGTTACCAATGTTGCTGTAATTTGACATACGTATTTATATGTAATTCTAGCACGTGAATTACCGTCAATTTCGTCTACGTACCTCTTCTTCAATAAACCTTATCATACATGTAGCACTTTTCCATTTTTTTCTATCTTGTGAAAAGAGAAAGTATATTTTTATTATATCTTTGCACCTTATATTTGCAAAATATATTGCATGAATTTTTGGGGGAGATTTTGAAAAACGTATTACATTAGAAAAAACTTCTTAATGTTGTGAATATTATATAAATTACTGTAAAAGTCTCTATTAAAAATTTATGAAGGAATTGAGAAAGTGTTCTTTAATAATTTCGCAAATAATTGTACTTTTACAAAGTAGAAATTTTAAATTTTTTAATCATGGTAAAATTCTTTTTAATATTCTATAATTGCATATTACACTTTTCTTAATTACTTGACCATTTTTTATTTTAACATTTTCTATAGACATCTCAGGAAGAACAAAACAATTCATTTACCTATTTCTTAGATATTTCAAATTTCTATTAAAAAATTTGTTATTCAACGAATTGTAAAAAAATAATACCACGAAAGCTACGTTCCTAGATACATACGTACTAATATTTTTTTAACAATAGAAAACTGAATTTTATTAACTGTTCCATGCGTTTATAGGTTTATTTTTATAGTAATATCTGTTATTTAATATACAACTCGTATAAATATTACATTTACGTAAGAATCATACTGTTTTAACAAAGGATTAAAGAAAATGTGAACTGTACTTCGTTCAACTGCACCTACACAATAATATTTCTATTTATTTTAAAATAATACTTGCACTAATTGTGTATAGAAAATTTAGAAAACTTTAATCTAGCATTTTGCACGATCGCCTTATATCAATTAATCATATTAAAATGTACTATACAAGATTAGGGTTTTAAACATAGAATATCGAATATCTAACAAAATATATTTGTTATATTCATAGAAGATGTATACGCATATTATAAAATCGTTCATATAATATATTACAAGCTATTTTCTCAAAAATTAACTTTTTAAAATTAATTTTCAAACCTTGGATATTATAACTTTATAAGAATGTAAGGAAAATAACTTTTTTTTTAATCAAATGAAAAGTAAATTTTCTTAATAAGTTTTATCGAAAATAGCCTGTAACACTTTATTATAACATACGTACGTGTTATATTTCATTACAAACGATGTAATCGTGAATTTATTATGATCTGCCTTCTAATTTGAGACCAAGTTCTCAAAAATTTGACGCTGTGACATTGGAAAGGTATATCTTATTAACAATGTTTAAGAGTTTCTTAAAATTATAATTGCGTGAATGTGTATAATTCATATATTAATGTTTTACACATGTTTCAAATACTTAAATAAAGATAAATAAGACAAATATCTTGGTTTTATGAATTTTCAATTCCTCATTATCATTATTATGATTATCTTGATCAATATAAAAGATAATCAGTAGCGCGAAAATAATTTCAATAATCGAAGTACACCTAATACATTTTGAATTTTCTTTTTCTTACTTTGGCTACTTTCATTTTGTTCTAGCATTTACCAGTAGAGTGCAGCGTTGCTTCATCCTCTTTCCTTCATCATGGCGGTGAGTGTATGTTTCGTTTCTTCGAAAACAATCTTCTTAATCCTAAAATATCAATAGCATCAAACATAAAACACATATATGTAATATACCATAATGAAACAATCATTGTTAATATAATACTGATGAAATTCTTTCTTTGAAAATGTAATAAGTGTATATGTAATTTTTGACGTGACAGAGGAGGTATATGACCAACGTGTATATAACCGCAAATGTAACTTAAATCTGTTCCAAGATTATAGAATTTTCAAATATGTAATTATTTCAACATACAACAGATGGTCGAATATTCCTATTTTATAAATTACCATTATTATAAGTTAACTGTAGAATATACTTTGAACATCTTTTATTTGCACTTGAATGTTAAAAATTAATATTGTTTGCAGGATGCTAAGAAACCCACTGAGAAAAAGGTCGAAAAGAAGACCACAAAAAAATTGAAAAAGGAGCCGAAAGACGCGTCTAAAAATGTGATGCGTGAAGTTCGCATTCGCAAACTCTGTTTGAATATTTGTGTAGGTGAATCTGGTGACAGACTCACACGTGCTGCCAAGGTATTTATCGAAATTACAATTCTAAAGTTATCAGACATAATTCAATTTTAATATTCTAATCAATTTTAATGTAGGTATTGGAGCAATTAACTGGACAGCAACCAGTTTTCTCCAAAGCAAGGTATACCGTTCGTTCTTTCGGTATACGTCGTAATGAAAAAATAGCTGTACACTGTACTGTGCGAGGCGCTAAAGCAGAAGAAATTCTGGAAAGAGGACTGAAAGTAATTATTAATCATTGTGGTATAACTATTTAAGCATTAACATATGTCTGTAATGATTCTTGGAAATTTCAGTGAAATTCAGTGTGATAATTTAGTTTCATAATACATTTATACGTTAATCGTCTCGCCGCAATTGCGCGTCAATAATATCTTTTAATATGATTTTTTCAAATCTTAAATAGATTTTTTGTTTTATTATTAGTTCGCCATCCGAGGTTAATTTCCGTAGAATTAACATCACACGAAATTTCATTTCACATTGATAAAGATTAGTTCCTAAGTTTCCCTTGTAAAATTATTTATTATTTATAGGTCCGAGAATATGAACTGAGAAAGGAGAATTTTTCCGGTACTGGAAATTTCGGTTTTGGTATCCAAGAACATATTGACTTAGGAATTAAGTATGACCCAAGCATTGGTATTTATGGATTAGACTTCTATGTTGTACTTGGACGCCCAGGTTAGTTTAACTTCATAAAGACATCATAAAATTGAGTATATGCACATTTAACATAGATATTACTGTAAGAGGTTGTATCTATTATTTTTGTAAAAAGTGTGCTAAAGAATAGTGCTTCATATTTGCAACCCATGCCCACTTCTCTCTACTGGGTGTGTTACTCAATTGGGGCTACACTTTATAATCGAATAAGTGATTTATATTTTCCGTGGCGTAACTAGTTACGCCAATATATTGTATAATACTTCGTCATAAAAATGTTTATCTTTAATTGTCTATGCGCAGGTTTTAACGTAGCTCATAGGAGAAGGAAAACTGGAAAAGTCGGTTTCCAACACAGACTTACTAAAGAAGATGCAATGAAATGGTTCCAACAGAAGTATGATGGTATTATTATAGCAGGAAAGAAGTAATATACACATCTTGTATCTTACAATTCTTTCATAAAAATTTTCAAAACAAATTAACTATTGTTCAATAAATTTTTCTTCATACTTCCGTTCCTTTTTAAGTACAAAGCATGATAAGGTTCCCTAGGAAAACCTACTGTGCTGGACGCTTTACATAAAATTTCCATATTTTCCATAAAATACTTATAAAAATAAATTCTATAATTACACAATATTTATATGCTAATTTTATAGACTTTATTCATAACCGTGATGTTATATAATTATAGCATTAAACACATTCATCTTTGCGAAGCAAGTAGTGTAATATTTTATAACTACACACCTTTCAGATAACTATCAGAACTACTTATAAAAAACACAATTGTATAATAGATAAAAATATAAAAGGCCCTCATTTATGAATACATGTATGTGGTTTCTATTATGTCAACCTTATTACATAAATTAATATAGAAACTGAATCATTAACTTAAATCTATAGGCTCAGTTATATGAAAGGAACTTGGAACAATTATATACATGTTTTAATTCGAGATGAGAATATTTCTTTAAATTCTATTTTCACATTAGTTCTTTGTGGTGTACATAAAATATGGTTGAATTATAGTTTTAGATAACAAAAGTATTTGGAAGTTATGTTTTCATACATAAAAATAAAAATTGAATATTACCCTGAGTGTGATACTTCAACTTTAAGCCAAGAGGGATGTGCGGGTAGTAAGCTTCAAGCGAGATCGTAAGGAATGGGACACAAATGGCTGGGAGACCAGAAATATAGAGCTCGATACATATTTACAATACGAATGTTCGGTTTCGAATGACCTTTCGTGTATCGGAAGATATGTTCGTCGGGCTCTTCCCAATCTCATCCAAGTGTTTTTGATCCGACCTGAAGCCTAAAGCTCGAAGTTCAAACGCGAGTTTAAAAATCTCAAACACTCATGTAGAAGATCCTTTCGGGCCGATCTCGCCATACTTTCTCTGGCTCCACCCGACCTCGTCATCCCCACTAGCCAAGCATTATTAATTATTAACAATTAAATTACTGCGTGTTGATATGGATCCTTTGATTATACACAAAATTATCTAAATTCTTTATATTATGAAAACATAATTCCAATAAAGTTAGGATTTTAACATCTAATTTCCAATGGAAAAATATTGCTCAACAGCCATGAAATAAGCAACATATTTATATATGTTTAATAAGTGAAATAGAGTTATAACAGCTATATATAATAAATGTGCTATAAATCTTTTTTCATGATCATAAATACATTATAATATTCTTTCGTGACACTTAGCTTGACACAACAGGCAGATAAAAAGGCAAGATATTTTCCCTCAGTCTCCAAATTGTTTCCTTATCTGGACGTTATATATTCAAACTGGTATTAACTATAGTATTTATATATAACATGTATTCCTTCGTAACAGATATACGTATACAATTCATATTTAAAGATTTAAATAGTGCCGCAACGTATGATTAATTAAATTGAAAATTTATGCACATGTATACCTACATTTTGCTTCTTATCAGAACATTTTCTTTTTAGCACGAATAAGTGAATATAATTAGTCTTTTGCATTGGAATACATAAAGTATATACATTTACCTCAGATACTTTCATATTTTTTTCTTTTGATATCAATATAATTTACTTATATTAATAATCTGTAACACATGTGTATATATGATATTAGCGTGTATAAAAACTGTTCAATATTTTACATGATGTCAGCTAACAATTTGAAATCCAATGCAAAAGATTAAATCATTTTCTGTATTTTATCCTTACTGATATATATACATACATGCCGAATCACGATTTTGTTTAAACAATTCAATAATTTAATAAAATTTTACTAAGAAAAAATTAATTTGATACTTGGCTCTATGCGATCTGTTATAATGCAATTTGCATAATATTTTTACATTTTGCGAGACACTTTTTGAAATTTAAAATTATATTACATTTCTAATACTTTGGAAACTGCAATTAGATCTTAATTACATAATTTAATAAGATAAACTATATAAAATATTGTTACTTAATATATGTTTAAAAATACTGCAATGCTACAAATTGTTGTTCATAAATAATAAAAACAATATAAAATGCTGTAACATTTTTTAAATATATTATAATGCGCTAGTCTAAACACATTACATATTTCAATACATTCGTAATGAATTTTGTGTTTTATATGCAGTTTATGTCGAAAGTGCACCAACAGATATAGAAGATATTTAATTAATTTTTATCCTTGCATGCTTTTAAATCTTTCTCTTTTTAATAATTTTTATTTTTAACGTGCAACTGTAAATTAAAAAGTATTTGTATTATAATTTTGGAAGATATCAGCCTTTTAATCGTAATTAACTTATTTAATTGCTAATATATGTTATGAAAAAGGTATACTTTGTTAAATTAATAAAACATACAAATCTCAATTTATATGTTAAATTTGATTAAAACATGATTCATAAACTGCTTCTGCTGTTAGTTCATCTGTGTACTGAAATTAATTAAAAAACTTTATAATGCGTTACTTTCTCGATGATCTGTAAATTTTATCAATATTGTGCTTTTCAGCTTCACTGAATCCCAGGATGCTTTCGATAGCATTAAGATGACCGTGATGATTTTCTTTGTCAGTTAGAAAATAATAGATAGCTGATTTTAGGAACTGTAATGTTATCTCTGGATCAAGGGCACCTTGATTACTCCTTGCTTCTACGATACGACGATACATTGCCTGTTGAACAAATTCATGTTAATAATGATTTTGTTAATAACTATTTATTCGTGTGTTACTCTCATTGGCATAACTAGGATTTTTGGATACAGTGGAGTAGGTCCATTAGAAAATTGGAAATTTTTGAATTTTAAAATTTCGAAAATCTGGAACTTAGGAAAATTGAAATTTTTTAATATCGAAATTCTGAAACCGTGTAAAGTTAAAGGGGTCAATTCACCTTTTGGGGAATCAGGCCCATCCTGCCCCCTGCCTATTTACGCCAATAATTATGTATCCTGTGTATCGTGTTTCAAATAACATATGTATATTGTGTTGATTAGATCCAGACACAATAAATTCGATGTGTGAAAAAATACATAAGGTGCAGCTGTGAATTAAACAGTTATTCTTTTCTGGATCTAATTTTTCTACAATGTGTGACGGTGCGAGCATGTGATGCTTAAGCACGTGCAAACTTACATTAACTGAAGAATAATAAATAAGAGGCTGTTTCTTCCAAGCGCACATAAAAGTCTTTTCGAACCTAATAATACTGTATAATAGAACAAACCAACTACATTCGTGTTTAGTAATTGACATGCAGTCACTGTGGCGAAGCATTTAATATTAATACATTCTCTTAGATAAACCTTGTAACTCATAAATGAGAGCACGTGAAGCCAATTCTTGCCACTATGTTCGCTATCTAAATATATGAATTATCATTTTAATGGAAAGACTGAATTTATTCATGAAATGATAGAACTGATGATTTGGACACATAGTAAATGTAGGATTTGATTTACATTGAAATATCATTCAGTATCAATATTTTATGGTAAATTTAGATGAATGAATAATGGTATATTAATATGAGTGTATGAATAGTAACAATGATCATAAAAGTAGATTTTTGACCGATTAAATATAAATACAATGGCGTAACTATGTAGGGACCATGTTCACAATTCTAAAATTACAAAAATTACAATTAAAAAATTTTTAAATCCCAAAAAATTAAAATTCTGAAAATTAAAAATTTCAAAATTCTTCTCGTGAAATAATAATAAACATTTTGGCTCACCCCGACAAAAATTTTAATTACGCCAATGTATAAATAGAGATTCAGTTAATCTATACATTTAGATTAACACATTTGCTATCAAGTCAAATTAAATAATTGAAACATCAAACGAATATAAATATTCTTTATACATATACTACTTTTATAAGGAAGATTTAATGTGCACATTTCAGATTACATATCTGTCATTGTGCTACACTTATTTGGTATTAACGCCATGCTTGAGAAATAGAATATATATACAACATAATTTTCCGAAACATGTAATCAAACAGCTATCATTTACAACAATGAATCAAAACATTATACACAATACAAATATCAATAAATTTCTTGATTTCAAAATATAGAAATACAGACATTTTATGTAACAACAATGAAAATACATACAATACTCTGCAACAAAATTTATTCAAAACAGAAATAGACGGGAAAAAAGAATGAAAATGTATGTGAACATGTATGTACAGTGCCGAACATGATAGGCTTCTTTAGGGAAAATGGTTTTTTAAGGAAAAAAATTCCACTACTCGTCTGTAAATGTTTACAGAAATTTAGATTTTGGAATTTTCGAATTTTTAGCTTAAGGTCTCCTTTTCCCGTCACCGTTTTTCTTAAGGATGCTTACCGTGCTCGATTCTGTACATTAATGCTTAAACAGTGGATGAGAATTGCATCACGTGGCGGTTCAGCGGAAATACAGACCTTACGTGTGCCAAGGAGCCAGAGAGAAACAGCCTCCTGAGCACTTAATAAACTGTGGCTACGATCGGCTGAAATGTGAGGTTCAGGCGAGTAGCTTGTGTCCTGGAGTGTGAGCGGCGACCAAAAAAAGTGGCACATCATTAGTACAAGAGATTTGAAAACTACAGAGATGCACAGACAGTGATCACCGAATCATTCTCATGTACTTCAATTATTTTGTACTATTCATTTTTATTTCATATTGTTAACTATTCGAAGCTAACAAATCTTTAGAATTCAAAATATTATTAAAAAACTTTTCAAAAATCAAACGTACAAATAATTTATGTACCGTTATGTACTATTACTTAGTAATTAAATAATATTGACATTGACGTAACTAGGATTTTTTGAAGATTTTTAATATCCAATTTTCGGAAGTTTGCGAGGGCAGGTACCCTCGCACCCAATGCAGTTACGCCAATGAATATTTCTAAATTAAATATCCGCAATGCGATGAATTATCAATACTCATAAATGATTAATAATAACTATCTTTTATATTTTGCTTTTACAAATAATTAGATAAATTATTACCGTTAGTAATGTACTTTAATAAGTTTTAGTAGAAACTTCATGCTGTTTTATATAGGCGTAAAGATAAAGCCTCGGTCATTAACGATATCAGCCAAGGAATCGTATTTCATGTTTTACAAGGCAATATATCTAATATTAGTAACAACAGGAATAAAAACATTTACCTTGATATTTTCTAATTCTGCCTGTGTAATCGTTAATTGCTGAAGTAGTTCTGCGACGGTAACCTTTGGTGGTGTTTGATAAGCATGCTCTAGTATCTATAATTGCATTCAAAAAAATGAATTATTATTATAAATTGAAAATAGACAATATTCAACGTTGTAGCTGGGCCTTTTTTAAATAAGGAAATTTTCGACGACGGGAACGTAACAATATGTTATAAAATACATAATTGATAGAACCTATATCAGAATATACTTAGAAATAAAAAACAAATAATTTATTAATTTATTTAATACTATTGTCATACCTGATCAGCTTGTTCTATACGCGCAGCCTCCTGACCTTTGGCATACATTTTCAGGTACATTTGTTTATTTCTCTCTTCTTGTTCATTTAACAAAGTCTTTTGTTCAGCGAGTTCCGCTTTCACAGCCTCTAATTCCGCCTCTAATTCACGTGCTCGAGCCTCTGCAGTGTCGACAGAAGGTCTCACTTCACAGTAACGGGTATTTATTTCAGCCAATTGATTCAGTAAACTTTCAACCTAGAATTCGGAACAACTGAGTTCACCAACAATATTAAACGCCAGGATCATGATGGTCCGTTATCATAAGAGAAACGCTTTCCCTCATCAATCCCCTTTTAGTCGCCTCTTACGACAGGCAGGGAATACCGTGGCTGTATTCTAACCCCCAGCCACAGGGGAAAATTAATACTGTTAATGAAATTAATTCTTTTATGAATGTGTTTTTTATTAGTATAATATTTTAGGATTTTACCCTGGGATGGAGGCATTAATTCTTTTTAAACATTTATCATAAAAAAACTAGGCATGACTCATTACGCTATAAACCTATCAAACTCCATACGTTGCACCCTATACAACTTCTCTATCTATAAACATACCTTATCATTATGTTTCTGCTTCAGTTCCTGCAGCTCATCAACGTGTCTTCTATGCATCTCTTCAATCCTACTTTCATACAAATTAACCAATTTACGTCTCTCCTCATCTCTTTCCGGAGTCTCTGTGGCCGACCTAAATGGTTCTGACGCGGTCTCATCTTGAACCTTAGTCGTCGTAGCAGCATGCGTCTCTTGTTGCGCTTCCGGTAGAAACACAGAATCTTTCGAATGGACGGATCCATCTTCAAAGTGACCAGAGTCCGCCAGAGAGGAAGGTAAATCAGAATGAACGCGTTTTTCGGGTGTAGCTGGACTAGTAATTTTCTGCAATACACTTTCATCTGGTAAATCTTTGCTCGGTGATTCTGGTGAGAAAGGGTTATTTTCTCGTACGGTAAGCGCATCACTGCTGTCCGTCCTCTCGTCTGGACTGTTCAAAGCCGCCTTATATAATCTTAACTCTACCACTTCTTTCGTTAAACGAAAGATTTCCTGATCTTTTTCTTCTATTTCTTTTTTGGCTTCTTTCAGTAAAGCCTATACAAAGGAAAATAGGTTTAGCAATATTTCTAAACGCGACCTAAATTATTTTTCAATGCGATTCGAACCTGGAATTTTCTAACTTGTCTAGCAGCCCTCTGCGTTGGCGTGAGATATTGTTCATTGTCACCGCTATGGTTTGAACAATGAACAACGTATTTTCTTGATCTACCTGACCATGTGGTACCATTGAGAGCGAAGGTAGCATGATCACAGGCGCTTGCGGTGCTGCAGGCACTTCCATAACTTTTTACACTTTCCGCGTCACTGTCATCGGCAATTCCGGTACTAGATCCTCCAGAGGCCGCGTATCCAGATCGCGGCCTCGCCGGTGTCAATGAAAGACTCTGGACAATAAACAATGGGTTTGTTAAACCCTTTGCTCGGATTAGAAAATTAAGTAAAAAAAACTGCAGAATTCAAAAATTCGAGAATTCTCTTGGAACGGTCAATACCTAATGAATAATGTCTCTAACGTGTACACTAAGGTGGTAGCTCGAAGCATAAGAATGATTTGCCCTTTCATACATAGTTGATCTAAAGGTGGTTCACCTTAGGGCCTAAGGCTTAAAAGCTTAAGAGAAGCTTTCTTCTGTCCTCAATATGTAGTTTGAATGTAAGAAAAAATCAAAGACCTCACTAGTGAAAAGATAAGAGACTATTCTTTAGTTGAGCAAAAGTAGCGAAGAAGCTTCTGCGCCGACGCTTTGGTTTGAGGAAGGTCAGGACACCCCATCGTGGCTACTCGAACCCAGGTACACTTAATAATTCAAAATCCGCCGAGCTAAGCGCCAGTCATCTTTTCATTGTTGCACGCGTCTTTCTTATTTATCTAACCTATTATTTTGAACAATTGAACTATATAAATTTATGTGTATGTACATATGTACACTTTCTTAACATATTACAAAACAGGCATTTTATTGTTAACCATTACAAAACTCAAAGTTTCACAGTCGTATAATTTACAGTTTTTTCATCGAAACCTTCACACGTTATTATACTTAAATATATTTTCAATTTTATATATAATTATAATAAATTATTATGGGTCAAAGTGATTTCGTATCTGACTACCAATTTTCACGTCGAAGGAGCGTATCGTATAAACTGTTACAGTGATATTAAAAGAGACTTGGCTCTGGCAAACTGCCTATATTTATCAACTTATGTGAACCATCAAAACTTACAAGAGAAGTTCTGTTTACTTTGTTCTTTCTTCGTGCTATTTAAATCGAAGTTTGAAATCCAAAGTGAATTTTTTCCATTGATTGATAATAATAAGAAATTTTCTATATTATAAATTAAAAATATTATGTAAAAGTAAAAACAATTAGAAAATTTAAAGAAATATTTTGAATCCAATACAATTTATATGATATTGAACATATTAATTAATAACTACATTAGATATATATTAATAATCTTAAATTTCAGTTTAAATATACACAAATTTCAAAACACAGTAATTATCCACATATGTTTACCAGAACATGCAATTATTTTATACGAACAATATCACTATAACATTCTATACCAAAATAAAAATATTCAAAGACTCTGTTAAAATCATTACCCCTTCCCTCAACCACAAATCTCCCATAAAAACGAAATTTCAACAGTGAAGTCAATAAGAGAAATGTCAGCCCGCATCTGCGATCTGCATCGAACGAATACGGCGTAGTACGTATCTAAGAAACTCTGATTCAAATCCCCCTTTAAACAATCAATTAGAGTATTACTTACGAGAGATCGTTGTCGAGGTGAATCACTTCCATTCTCCGTGATGACTGGAAAAATTTGATGGTCCAGATGATGGTGTTGCAGAAGGTTAGACCGACGGGAACACTGACAACGTCTATTCAGGGCCGCGTTCGCCGCGGTACTGGGTGGTGGTGGTGGTGGTGGTGGTTGGTTAGGTGAAATTCGTTCACCGCGCATGCGCATACTGGCCGAGCGGCGCAGACTCGAGAGCGAGGGACGTGGAATACGGGAGTCGCAGGAAGAGGATATCGAGGGTGACGGTACGGTATCCGATGCACTTCCTGTACTGTTGGCATTGACCTTGTCAGTACATGTTGCTGATTCCAAAGGTACCAATTCCGTGATGGCAGTTGCGTTAGGGCTCGAGGTGTCTGGGTGCATCGATTGAGGCGAATGCAAGGACCTTTCGATGCCGTGACGAGCCATTCTTTTCTACACTATCTAACAGAAAAGAAAATATTTCATTAACAAAGTGAAAAAAAAAAAATAAAATAAAAGTTGAGAAGATATAAAAATAAATATATTATTTGAACAAAAATCTATAAATTATAAATTTAAGTTATGTAGATCTTAGCTCTTTCATCAAATTATTTTGTAATCAAAATACAATAATAAATGCAGCACAAAGTACAAAATACAATAATAAATTTCTATTTTTAGTTCCATAATTTTTATTCGGATTATTTAAAGAGATACCTTTGTGTTATCGTTAGTTTAAATGACTTATTCAAACTTCAGACAAGGACAAAGGTTACCAAGTTTACGATTATACAGTCAAAAGACTCATTATAGTATAAGTAATGATTACATACAATGACATATCTAAATCAAAAGTTATTCATACTGAATAATATTTAAAGTAATTAATAGATCAAACACAATCTTTTAAAATTCAATCAATAATAAATTTTTAAAAAAGTTATAATTGTTCAAAATTTTGGTATATTATAAAACGCACATTAATATCGTCATTGTAATATTTTTTATCTACTCAAAGAGCGAATTCTTCATTGTAAATATGTACACTTAATCATATTAATCTCTCAGTGACAGTTATTTCCGCTTATCTTTCTTTATAATATAAAAGTATTATATTTCTTATCGCGTATCTATGTACCAACTCCAGTGAAAGGTAAAGTTATTTTAACAAGTGTTTTTATATAACACAGCGATTACAAATGGAGGAGGAGGAATGTTGATTAAACCATTAGTGTAACTAGGATATTTTGGAGGGAGCTAGGAACCTTAGAAACTTTTAAATTTCGTAAATTTAAAATTTAAAAATTTTGCCAATGATTTAGAATTTAGACAATATCATAATCATTGTTTCTGAAACTTTGTTGCCGTTAATATTTCTCCGTGTCATTCGAACTGACGAATTAGAGCAGGGAAAGGCCTATTGGAATAAAGTAATCGATCATTTGGTGTCCTATTTCAAGCACATGCTGCGGCATTATGCAGCGTCTATCATCTTTATAAATCATCATTTTTGTTTTCTTAACAATATCTTCGAGTTCACCTGTCAGATTATTTAAACTTCAAATTTTTACCTTATCGATACATTAAACATGTGACTTCATTTAAGGAAGAAAAAAGAAAAATCAAATTTTGACATATGCCCAATCGCTTATTTACGTAAACCAAGTCTACGTCACAATCCCAGCACTGATTTTGCAAACTCCGCATGACCAGGAACTAATTAGCAATTAGAAAGTACTAATTAACCAAGCTTACCTTTGGAACATGAATTCGAAGTCGGTATCAGGTTCACTAATGAATCTTTAAAACGTTATTGTCGTTATTTGTAATTAGTATCACAAGTTGAAAAAGTTGAAAATAAGGAACAATAATTTGTGCCACGCGGGCTTATCGCGTGTAGAGGTTGAACATAGCTGCAAGTACTTAATCCAGCGGTCATAGATCTCCTATGTAAATTATAACACGATCATGGTTAGACGAGACACTGTCTTTGATTTATTCGAAGGGTATACGAGAAACACTACACCGCACATTGAATACATTTCGCTACGGAACACTGAACAGCTTTGAAAAACGTGGATACTGAGCGAAAATCAATCTTCCACGATCATAACGCGACTCATGGAAACAAACAGCGTTGTGCTACAACGATAGAGAATCACGAGATGTCGTATTGCCTGGCACCGAGCGCTGACAATATCAGAATTTTGACCTACGCACGCCATCTCGTTATGATATATGTAGAATAGAGTATTTACCAACTGTAGGCACTCTTACTTTATCCAACTGTTGAATTTGTCTATGTTATCGACTGTAAATAAATTATTACTTTAATAAACCTCAATTGAATTTTAAATTTTGTCTACATAACATCAAATAATTTATACAACTAAGGATTATTAAACATAAAATCTGTGTAATATTCTAATAATCTGTATACTTAATTTTGATAGATCAGTTGTCGAGAAAATCATAAGTACTTGATTTTAAAATGCTTTATCATTTATTATTCAATTCCGCAGCACGGCATCTATTTCCATTCCATTTTCTAGGAAACTGCAATAAATCATCAAAATTAAATTACGATAAAATTCCATTTACTTGAATACGTCGACATCAAAATTTCTTAATTCTTCTTTTTATTCTACAATCAAAGAAACATTCCATTCAATTAATCAGTGGCGACTGCATTACCTTGTTCAGCTTGTAGCAATACAAGGATAAGACGCTGCTAAGACACATTTCTTTGTATTGTCATTAAATCTCAAATCATTAGGACATTGAAGATTATATCTAATTACAGTTGTACCATCTATATAACAGAAATAATATTTCTGACACTTAGGATCTTCAATTTTGAATCTGCCATTGGCTACACATGGAGCTTCTGTCGTTGATGCTGCTGTTGACGTTGTTGATGTCGACGGTGTCGTCGAAGCCGATGACGCCGTTGAAGTCGATGATGGTGGTGACGCTGATGATGCCGTTGAAGCCGACGATGCCGTTGAAGCCGTTGATTCCGTTGAAGCCGATGATGGTGGTGACGCTGGTGACGCCGACGATGCCGTTGAAGCCGTTGATTCCGTTGAAGCCGATGATGGTGGTGACGCTGGTGACGCTGATGATGCCGTTGAAGCTGGTGGTTCCGTTGAAGCTGACGATGCTGTTGAAGCCGATGATGGTGGTGACGCTGGTGACGCTGATGATGCCGTTGAAGCTGGTGGTTCCGTTGAAGCTGACGATGTCGTTGAAGCCGACGATGATGGTGACGCTGGTGACGCTGATGATGCCGTTGAAGCTGGTGGTTCCGTTGAAGCTGACGATGCCGTTGAAGCCGATGATGGTGGTGACGCTGGTGACGCTGATGATGCCGTTGAAGCTGGTGGTTCTGTTGAAGCCGATGATGCCGTTGAAGCTGGTGATTCCGTTGATGCCTTCAAAGCCGGTGTAGTTTGTGTACAAGTATAGGTCGAAGGCGACGTACAGTATCCCAACGAAGGATCAAACACCATAGAAGTAGCACATTTTAAATCATAAGAGATGTATTCATCACCATCATAAACACAGATGTAGTAATTCTGACACGTGCCATCATTGATCTCAAATGTTCCAGGCATTATGCACGTTCGAGATGAAGCAATTATTTGAGACATTCCCATAGGAATGTAACCCAAAATGAGAATTTCAAGAACAGATAAAATATTCATTTTACGTATTGTACTACACCGGTTCATGACTACTGAAGATGTAATCGTTGGGTGTGCATTCTCGCGAATATATTACCTGCTGGTTTTATTGCTTTATTGAAGAGTGTTATAAAAGCTGAATTTTGAGCAAACATAGTACAATACCTTGTTTATGACAAAAATAAACATGTTCCACATTTTTTAACACGAAAACAACGTTACATTTTAGCTTCCATTATCTAAATTTCTAGGAATTGCTTTTACTGCTCCTAGGAATTCAAGGTTGTTGTTATTAGTAATAGAATTGAATTTAAGTGAACCACCCTATATAGAACAGAAAAGTTGAATTCCTTTAAAATCAGTGTTACAAACCATTTTTCAATGGTTTCTTCAGCAACCCTTAGAGCCAGGTAGATTTTCTTTAGTATCGTTCTCCAGCAGGGGGTTAACAGGTAAAAGAAGGTGCGTAACGTGGGAGAGATCGGTGGATAGAAAAGGAGTTCGATTCTTCGGGTGCAAGAGAAAGGATAAAAGGCTGAAGGAAGACAGAAAACAAGATGGAAGTGAAGAAGGAGCAAATGTATATAAGCGACTTGCATGGAAGACGATCCAATGGACTCTCTCTTTGACCTTAACGAAGTGTGCACCTTTCTTCGCGTTTTTTCTTTTGTTCTCCTTCTTTCCATAAACTTCCTTTAAACGGCATCCGTGTTATTCAATCCTCACCCAACCTTGAAGAAGCGACAGTTCTTTCGTATCTTGTGTTACCAAAGGTGAAAAGTTAACTTTTATATCTTTCTCTGTTGTTTCGCCGAAGAAAACTGTGATTTTTTATTTTAACGTGGTTTTTGTGTCATGTTTCTGAGGAGAAGATCCTGAAGACACTTCAGTGAAAAATGAACGTTCATCGGGTGAGTAATAAAATATAAATGGGGGAAGAATGGATTAAAATCTAAAAACAAATTTTTAATTTTGCAAAATTTAAAATCTTAATAAGTTTTTTAAATTAGATGTACCTACTGTTAATCAAATTAGTTTTGATTTGATCAAAAGTAAAATAACTCAGTTATTTATTTTTTTAATTATATTCTATGTCAATTTTTCAATAAAAATGTAAAACAATAATTGAAATAGTATTTTTCTATTATTATTGTATTATATCTATATTGTACAATGTGCATTAAATTGCATCATTGCGTTGCACTATGAATATGCACTTATCGTAAGCGTCCTCTTTATTTACGACATTGGAATTACATTTAAGAAAAAACTAGTCCGTGAAGTAGTATTCAAGCAGAAGAACATATTGTCATGTGTGTCATCTTAAACATGTGGCACTTGATGTCCATGGATATAACTGTAATCTGTTTTTTCAATTTTAAATTAAAATAAATATTTCATAAGCATAGTTCAAAAACTTGCGGTAGTTCGTAGATTAAATAGAAACAGTTGAAATAAAAATTGATTATAATTTATATTTTAATAACATTCTTATGGGTCAGATTGACCCTGTATTCAACTACTACGTTTTGTATGGAACTGCATATAAGAACAGGTGGTTAATTTGTCATGCAAAGCATACCAGGCGAAAGTTAAAAATCACCAATTCAAAAGAATGGTAGCACGATAACTGAATAGAATGACCAAATTTGGGACTTTCAAGAAATTTACTTGTACAACAAGTAAAGGGATAATTTTATGTAAAAAAATAAGTCAAAAAGATAAGATAACATTTTTACGTATATAACTCTGCAATTCAAAAATTCTTTATAAAACTCAAAACTCCTTATGCCAAAGAAAAATGACACTTTTAACAACTAGTTTAGTGTACTTAATAATTGAAGATTTTTATTCCAATTTAAAGATTCAAATTCTAAGGTCCTAATTTCAATGGATTAATTTTAATCCAAGTTTCTAATTTGGAATTTTCCTTCATTTGAATACCATTTATTTCACGTCTGAAAGATGTCGAAAGCCAGAATGAACTGATTTGTACACATGCCGAATGGTCAATCGTACATGATCCAACAAGGACGACATGAATGATGCGAAGAAAACATATGCTCGACGCTTTCGAATGATCCTGGTCGTTTGGCATAGTGCCAACGTAGGAGCGAAACTCTTCCGTCTACGACCTAAATCTGTCGCTTTCCGTTTGCACGTTTTTTCACTTTATCACAGTGTCAATAACGATTTTCTTCGAATAAGCTATTAGTTCTTATGTATCAACCTTCAAAGATAATTTCTATTAACTCCTACAAGGGAAGAACTCCAACCATTAGTGCAACTAGGAAGGGAGGATCCCAATCATTGGTGTAACTAGTTAAAAAATAATCATTCTAACACTTTAACATCCCAACATTCGAGAATTCCAGAATTTCAAAATTTCAAAAATTCCGATCTCAGATACTAATTCCAGATACTAATTTTGTGATAGACATATTTTACAATGTTTTTGAGGTATAGTCACAGCTAAATCTCACTATCAAGGTACTTTCTCATTATCTTTTTAAGTTGTTTCTTGTTGGAAGTAGGATTTCAAGATTTCCGCTTATCTTTTTTCGCTAACTTCCTGACAAACAGAACCTTCCTCAGCTTAATTGCTTAACAAAGAAACTATGTAAAAATGTGGCTAGATATGATCTGCAAGTATGTTTCATTCCATTTAACGAACTACGTATATAAGTGATGCAAAATTATATAGGATTACAATTACATAGAATTAATTAGTCATGATGTAGTAATATATTAACAGAGACTAACAGAGAGATGTGATTTTCGATTTAAAAGAAGAGAAATGCAATAACAATTGGGACAAAAATTCATAATTATATGAATTCACCATTCTATGATAATTTGGATAAATAAATTTTTGATCTAATTGTCAAATTGCTTTGGAAGCGATAGAATAATGTCAGCACGAATTATCCGCGAGGAAGAAAATTGCAATCTCATGATTGACATTGGTTAGTCTTGATTAACGTCGAAATCCATTTACCACACGTGTTCCCCTACACATAGAAAAAAAAACCTTGCTGAATGTGCATTATACAGATTACATGCAACCGCATATTACATCTTCTCACTATAGGTCGACTCTCGTAATACCCACAGCCCACTTACCTACATTATCCCTGCTACACGAGGGTTTCTCTTATATACTACTTCAGCTGTTACACTGTGTGAACCACCTACTCTTCAATGAAAATCAGATCCATCTTAGCACTTTAAGCGTCAAGATAAAATTGTAGAAAATCATTCTCATTAATAATTTCAGTTCGAATAAATCTACACCATAATCATATGTATTCAAGATTGATTAGTTCAATTAAACATTAATTACAAGAAATTTCAAATTTGTCATTTAAGAATAATAAAAATGGGGAAAAATGATAAAAATGGTACATAAATAGTACCTAGTAAATGATGAGTGGTCAATAGTTAATCGTAAATGGAAAGTGGTAACTAATAGGTAGCAGTTGTTCGTTGATAGCTAATTATTGATAATTATATAAGTATTGATATTTTTGTTAATTAGCCATATTAATCCAATATAATCAATACACCTAGTATATTCATCTTTTCGCAAAATAATTCATAATTAGTTCAAATAAAATTCAAATGCATTCCAGAAATTTTTCATGCAACAAATAACTGATCTTAAAATTGAAAGTATAATAATGAAAAAGAAGATAATTAATCATCTACTAGATCACTATGTTTGTAGAATGATATTCAATGAAGCTATCGAAAACAAAAGGTCAGAAGTGAAAGGGGAACAAACATAGCATAAAATCCAGCGCAGAGAAGATTTGAGGGACCCTAGCAATTATCTATGGGGATTTTCTCACGAGTTGTAGATTCAATGGTTCCCGTAGTATTTCACGTGCTATTTCACGTTTACTGTAAAATATGCGTATGTGTGAGAGAGAACGAGAGTTAGTCGCAAAGAGCGTACTTGTCACGAGAACCGGAACTGCATAAGAAAGTGAAGAAACGGAAAAAGAAGATACGGTCCTTCTGGTATCACTTTTAAATCTACTAACATCTTTGGATTTTTAACTTAACTATACATCTGCCACCTGTAGTTTAAGAATGTCTGAACCCTATAAAAACACTATACCAAAATTAAATTTCTGTGATTCTAGGTTTTATTAACAACACTTCTCATCATCTCATGTCATAATTCATCAAGCCTGAAAAATGATCGAGGTGGACCATCATTCAATAATGCACCAAATTTCATTCGAAATAGCAGAAGAATCGAATTAAATGAATATCTGGTTCCACCCCCGCCACCAAGGCCTCATTCACTAAGATCAGGAAGAGTAGCAAACCCCTCCCCAACAGATGCACCAGGATACTTTTCCAAATTGATGAACTGGTTGAACCCCTTCAATTATGGAGTTTCATCTCCAGTACCCCCACCTATAGAAACACCATTCCAACCTCGCAGTCCCCCACAGTTTAATTTGCAATCTGGTCCACCATTGCACCCCCCTGGACCTCTGTATCCACCTTTGGGTCCACCTCCAAATCAGCATCCAGTGGGGATACATCCTGGTCCACCTATAAATCTTCCTCCCAATCCGTTGCCATCTTACAATGCTCCTCCAGCGATTGTACACAATATCCAGCCTTTGAGAAATAATCCCGCACCATATGTTGCCATGAATAAAGGAAAGTCTTGTAATCCTTGCAATAGAATTCCTTGGATCCCTATGCAAGGTGGCGGACTACGCGACGACCATCATCCACATCCACAAATTTCTAATGGCTATCTCCCTCCAAGTAATTCTATAAATCATGACAATCACCATTCAGCATCCCAAGACATCAGTGTCCCAAGTTTCGCACAAGGTCCTCCTCTGTATCCTCATCCCGTACCTCCAAGTCCCCACTTCGAATCTACTTTATCGAATCCTGATCAGCAACCAAATATACAAATCAATGGACATTCCAATCTTCGGGGGAATGAAGATTTAACATCCAGTGGGACACAGGCTGGGGAGGGTCGTTTAAGTGCTGCCCCTCAGAATTATGGATCAGGAACTAAAGAACCTTTGGAGTATAATCAGCCTCCGATTTCTGGACCACCTGATCAAGAAAATCAAAATGGAGGTGGTAATCATCCTAGTGTGGCCAATTTTGGATCGTCAAATTTTAATGAAAATGATAATGGCTATCACGAAGAATCCAACGTCCATTATGTTCATACTCAGAACTTAGATCCTCCGCCCAGCTTTGGATCATCCAATTTTAATGATCAAAGTAATCAATATCCTGATGACCTATCTTCCAGCAGTAGTGTCATCAAAGATTCTCAGATACCTGATAATTCCAAGGATTTTGTACACTTTGAAGAGTCTCCATTATTAGACCTCACTAAAAAGGATGAGGTTCACCCTGATACAAAATGGTCACCATCTACTAACACCTACAATGCTGAAGAAGGTTTTGATAATATTTTAAAGACGACTACGGATTACACTTTAGAGACTGATAATATATATTTTGAGGATTCTTCGAATTTTATTAGACAGAGCGAATCTTATTCCTTGTCGGATATCAGGAATATTAATGGTGCTTTGGAAACAACGACTCCCTCAAGTTTGGGATATAATAAAAATGAGGATGTTGAAGCATCAACGATTAATACACCTTATGTAAATCATCAAAGTGGAGGGCAGGGATTGTTGTGGACGAATTTGGATTTGAAAAATGAATCTTATGGAAATCATGCGTACTCGGATTCTCTTCCTCGTTGGAATAATTCTAATGATGGGAAGAAATTTGAGAAACAAGAGAATCTTTATTCAAAGGACGTGGTTCCGAAACAACAAAGTGTTAAACGAAATAAACAAGTAAGTTAATATGTTGTAACCTATAGCAAGAATTCCAAAATTCCAAAATTAGAACGACCTAATTTTAATGATGTTTCAGGTACAAGTTGTTATTCCGTACACATCAGAATACACACCAGTACCATTTCAACAATCATATGGAGACTGGAGTGTTAGAACTGATTTTGAAAGAAGTCAACCAAGAAAAGTACCTTCTTCTAATTCTAATTCAAACAACATCGATAATTATATTCAACAAGAATCAAGAAATGATATTCAAATTATCAATAGTTTACAATCACAGTACCATTTTAATGATTCCAATAAATTAAATGTTCAACAAGTAAGGACATCGATAAATACAGTACAAAATAATAATACAAAAAATATCCTACCAAAAGTGAGCAATTCTATTGATGTACGAAGATTGCAGAAAAATATTGATAATTGGACAATACAAGTAAGTTTAAGACATTATAATTTTTCCTTTCTACTATTTAAAAAAAAAAATATATATATATATAATAAGCTAATTAAATTTAAAAGAAATGCACTATACAGAAATGAATAGGAAGATAAAGGGATAATTTTGTTAAGTTTCCTTTTTTCACTCAGGAGTATTCAAAGCCAACGACGTCTAACACTGTTCTCCCAAGTTCGCCGCATCCCTATCTGTTGCCATCGAAGAAAATTCCAACGAAGTACCTGACGACAACAGAACCAGGGGAATCAATTGATCACAACGAAAGTGTGAAAACGTATTCTTTAGCTGGCTTCAGTTTCAACGAAGTGGAACACGAGGGTTCTGCGAGTAATCGCATCGAAGAAACTAGAACGGTAATTTGCTTTAATATCTTTACAAACAATCTAATTAATAATTAACGATTACTAATATAATTACCTCATATACACATAATTATCTCATATTATTCTTCCAAACATTGGCGTAACTAGAATTTTCGGATAGAGGTCCAATAAAAATTAAACAATTCTGATATTATTGAATTTTGAGATTTTGGAAATTGTGAAATTTTAGAGTTTTAAATGGTAAAGGGGGTGAACTGAAAATTTTTTGGTGAGGTCAGGCCTATTTAATTACGCCAACATTTACAGATACATTGAACTTTCCTTTCCAGCCGGTCAAAGTTTTACGAGTAGAAACGTCTAAGACAGAAGACAGCGTTTTAGAGAGCAAAAATAAATCTACGACAGAGGAAAATACGACATGGAAAGCGTATTCCGTGTCCGTATCGCCTGTTGACAAAGAACGAGTCTACGTAGTGACACCACAAACCGATTTAGAAACGTCTTCTAAAAACAATCTCAAAGAGAGAAAAGAAAATGAAACAAAAATTGATAATACAAATGATAGTAATGGAAACTTTAGTGAATTCGAAGCAATTGAAAAGGCTTATCAGGTACTTCCACAGGCAGTAAATAATTTAGCGGTTGCCTCCACGGGGAAGGAGAATATTCCTTTATGGGGAATTATGGAGCATGAAGAGTTTGCTTCGTTGAATTCTGATGACACTGGGGAAGGAGCGACTGGAGAAGGGCTGGATGGACCTGTGCTTTATTCTGGACATTCAAAGGTGATTAAATATTAATAACATTTTTAATAAATAATTCGGAATATTTTATGTAAAAATTGATAAAATAAAAATAGCGTTTTTTTACCGTAAAATATTCAGTTTCATAAATATATGTCTGTTACTTATACCGATTTTGTTTATAGGTTTCACGAGCTAAACGATGACATGCATATTCATTAAACATGAAGTTCAACGAACTACAATTTATAATAGTGAATAAATAATTGACTGTTTATCAATAACTTTCAGATTTGAAAGACTGCCTTTCATCTTGTGTTATAAAACACAAATGAAATAATTTTAGTGTCTAAGGTGCTAGTGTAAAACTTTATACGGCCAGTGTATGATTAAATTAAACATAAGTCAACATGGTAATTAAGTAATAAGTCGTGAATATTGTATAGTCAATATTAAATATCATATTTTTCTACTTACGTAAATATTATTTTTTGTATTTGTAAATACAGTTAAAATTGAAAGTATTATAAGCAGAATGTAAGGTAATTATAACTGTAAATTTTATTACTCTAATTGTATAAATAATTATAAAACAGTATTTATATATTAAAAAATATCCCGGGTTAATTTTATATGATATTTCTAAGTCATGATAATTAAGAATTTAATTTTATTGTGTTTCACTTACCTGTTTTGCAAACATTTTTTCTTCGACACATAATTTGCTTTCCTATTTCACTTTCGCTGATTTTGCATAAATGGAAACCAGCCAAAAAGAAGTTAGTCATTCGTATTCCGATGACACTATGAATGCACATTCATAGGTATTCCGCGTACGGGTTGGATTGACAATGTTTAAGACTTTCCCGATTATACGGTGAAAGGAGACCGTATTCCGGTTCATGTTGTTTCATCAATTGAAAAGTGCGAGCACTTTTCGTGACTTAAATATCAAATGGTGGTACTCTCTAATTTTATTATACCTAAAAATATTTCCAGGATTCAGACTGTAACCAGTGTAGGTGTGCCCAGTAATTAGTAAGACGGGCGCCCAGGGCTGCCCGCGAGCACAGTTGCGGGCGCAGACTCGAACCAGTCGTTTAAAAATGATTTGAAGTTTAAATAAAATTCCAAAAAATAATATAAATAGTGTAAAATTCCAAAATTCAAGATCTCTTCTTATACCTGTAAATAATAATTAGCAATTTTTATATGAAATATCTTTTCGTATTTTCAATAATAAAACATTATGGTTTTCTGAATTACGAATACAAAAGGAATCATCTGTTTTGAACGAAACTGCTAATAGTAGCTTGTTCTTTTAATGGCGTGTGAGAACTTTTACCGGAAGATTCTGAGAAAAAACAACGTATTGTTAGGATGAAAGATCGTGGTTGTTAAGAGACCAGAGCTGCGGTAACGAAACACTTCGTATCATTAAGTTCGTTTCTGTGGCGTACGACATTGAACAAGCACGCGACCTTAATTAAATTCCATAGCAGTTACATACTTCATATACCGTTGCGGTTACTACTTTCCTATAGAAAGCTCGCCGTACAGATTTTCATCTATATAAAGAAAATGTTTAGAAAAAGGAGAAATTAAATTTGTACAAAAAGTATAATTTCTAATATCTTAAAATAAATACTATTACTTGTTATATTTATATATACAAAAATGTTAATGCTACTTAAAAATATAATAAACAACAATACTTATTTATTATTTAATGCTTTGTTCTTCTATTGATGTTTACCATAGTTTACTTTTAAAATTCAATTTTTATGACAAATGGATTTTTTAATGGTACTGTAATGGGAAATTGATAATGGTTGACGGTACATATGATAGAAAGTGGCTTCTAATAAATTTCTGAAATTTACTAGATTTTATTGTCAATCAACAATGTTCTTGTTGTTCTGATTTTGTTTTTGAATTTCTTCTTTTAACAATTACTATTTCTATTGACCACATTATCACTGTGAGTGCTGTTGCGGAATTTATGGTAATTAAACTGCATGTATAGCTGCCGATACTGTCACGCATTACACCTGTAAATGTTATAAACAAAAGATTTATTAAAATACGAAAACATATAAATAAGAAGAATATATTGTTTTAAAATTGTATTTGTTATACTAATGACTATATACTGCTTTTTTGGACTATTTATTTGTTATTTTATATACCAAGCATTGGACCAGCAGAAAGAAGTATCACTCCATTTACGATCATTTGAATTCCTGATGCATTCGGTAATCTGTCAATTGGTACATAAGATGGTATTACCAGACTCATGTAAACTGAACGAAAACCTTTAGCAGTTCCTATTCCCACAGCGACTATTATTAGTGAGACAAATCCATCGGCAAATAATAAAGCTGAAGGATAAATCAAACAAACATATATTTGTTAAAAATAAATAATAAAAGAAATCATGGAAAAATATTTTAATATAACAATATTAAACACTATTAAATATTATTGCATTTTAATATTAACTATATTTTAAATTTTGTAATAATTATGTATGTAATACGTACATGTTCTGCTAAGGATCAAAAGGCATAAACTAAACATGTACATTATTCTAGGTGGTTGATGAAGCCATTCCCCAACAAAGGGAGAAAGAGTTCTGAAAACCAAATCAACACTAGCAATAACGCTCATTGTAGTCGCAATTTGGTTGTTCGACAATTTCATATCCGATAAAATAAATGGTGTTAATTGAGAGAAATTGATTTCAGCGAAAATAGCTACGGACATTCCCAACATTATATTTACATAGATTGGATCTCGTAATAGATTGAGATCAAATAATTCAGTTATCGTTTTGAATATTCTTAGTATACTCCACTTCTTTTTAGGTCTGTAATTAAAGTTAAATTGTTGAAAATTAATAATAATTAATCCTTACAATCAAATAAATATTTTCTAAGTATTAATTGATATGAAATTTCCGAATAAATGAAGTTTGTGTAGATATACATACTTTTCATTGTTATCAGTTCCATTATCCAAAGTATTTTCTTCCAACAATGTCTGATTTTCTGTTGCATTTGTCTTAACAGAATCGTTCGTCTCGTAACCATTTAAATTACTGTATTTCACGGAACTAGGTTTTCCTTCGAAAATTTTCACACTACTGCCAAGATTAATAGTTTCAATGCTTTTAACTGAAATTTAAATTTATTTAAATTTTATTGTTCTTTTTTCTTTTTAATTCTTTGTACTTACAGCGATTATTAAGACGAGCTATTTTTCGTTCTTTTGCTACTCTACTGCAATCTTCGGTGCTTTGATATACATCTATTTCTGTCTCCCCCCAAAAATAAATTAATAATTGTTTTATTGAAATTTAAACGACATTATATACAAATAGGTGAAGTTGTATTGAAACTGAAAATATAATATGTATTTTCTTTACCACTTGGCGTTTCTGATAGTTGCCGAATATAGGATATATCAAATCCATATATGCTTCCAATTTCAGCATCATGATCAATACTTGAAATAGTCACTCTTCTTTTTTTTTGTAAATTATCACTTATATCCGTATCTTTTGAACTTCCTTCGTCTTGTAAAGTAGTTTTTTCATCTGTAATTTGAATATTGTTGAGTATTACCAAAATATTGTCGATATTTATTCAGAAAATTCTTACCTATAATTTTATTTTCTTTGTCATTGTTTGATGGTATTTCATTCGTTGTGTCGGTTTGATTAGTCACATTTTTCGCATACCATTTGAGAGGGCGAAGTAGCAAGCTACCTACTAACGAATGTAAACTGAAAGCTCCATACAATAGTATTGTGCCCTACCGATACAATATGCAAAAAAATATGATAAATTACATGGAAATTTAAATTTCGGTTCAAAATCCTAAATTCTAATATTCCAGATCTCACAAAATTAGGATTTTACAAAAAATCCTAATATCAGTACCTAATACTATTTTTTTAAAATTAATACGAACAAAAAATTCGTAATACCTGAAATCCATAATATGAAACGAGGAACGTAGTTATTTGAGGTACAATTATAGGGCCCAATCCAATAATTGTTAATGCCAAGGACATTGCTCGTCCTCTTTTTGTCGTAAAATATGAATTTAATGCATATGAAAAGGCAGACGACGTTATAGTCGTACCCAACGCTATATAAAAGATAATATATTTTTTCCAAAGTATAATTATTATTTATCGTAAAGCATTAGTTGATTACAATTACACTTACAGGCAAATACACCATAGGAAATAATAAGAAAAGTAAAAGATCTTGCAAATGTTGTCATAAATACTCCAATACTATAAAGTATACTACCAATAACAGCCATTTTTCTATATCCAAAAGTCCTTAACAGTGGACCATTAGTCAATCCAAGTATCATACCAAATGCTAAATTAGTATTAATAATGACTGTACTTTCTGTAGCATTGAAACCAAATAGAGGAAACGTATCCTTGAATACTAATACAAATCCTTGCATGAGGGATACGGTGCATATCTGAGAACAATAATTGTTTTTATTAGTAATAATAATAATAATAATAATTGAATTTTTTAAATTGAATTATATTGAATTATACTGAATTGAAATAAATTCAAGCGTAATAAATCTCGACCTTGACTTTGATCTTGACCGTGACCTTGACATTATTCTTGAAATTAAATTAACAGGTTATTTCAAGGTCAAATACATTTTTTAACTAAAGCTACCCTTATGATACCCTTAACCTGTGATTCGTTCCATTTTTTATAAAATTGTTTAAACGTTAAAAAAGTTACATAAAAAATGACTTTATACCCCATTTAATGCGTATGCTACGACGATCATCCATCCCCAGTTTCCATCCGGCGGCACTACAGTAACTTCCTCTGCGCTCATTTTCATTTTCTTCTTATATTAAAATTCAGAGATTCTTCTTATATTATATCACAATATCGTAATACACAATTTTAATTATTAAAATTACTTCAATATAGTTTAACCTTTAAACAAATTATACCATTGAAATTTTACACACTTGTTGATAACGTTAATAATAAATTATACACTTATAATATTTCTATTCATTTACAATGCATAGTATCACTGTATAAAACTTATTATAACATCCCTTTTAGTCCTTGCACGTTGTCACCTTTTCAGACACAAAATTTGTAATTCACAATTTTTTTTTCTTTCGATTGAAGATGCTTTCATAAGTATACGTAATAATTTCACGGAATTTTTGGAACCCAATAAATTCGATAAGGTATGATGGCAAACGCGTCAGCCATACAGTAGGGTCCAAAGTGTCTATACGAAACGAATACTCATTACGTTTTATAATCGATAAAACATGTGAGAGATTAATCTAATCTACTATTATTGTCTATCATTGAGCTTTATCATTACCAGGTGACAGGAAAAAAGGATTGGACTGAAAGTATTTCCGTTTAATCATAATGTTACTGATTACAATATTTCGTACCTCTAATTGCATAATATCAATTAATATTTTAATTACCTTATAATCACTATCATTATATAATTCTGTAATTGTATTCATATAAAAAAAAAACCGTTATTTATTACCTTTATCACGGTTTAATATTATCTCGAGCTAGTAAAATGAGATAGCTATTAAATATTATTTATGATTTTGCAAAAAATAATTAAATTCAATATCAGTGATTAATTATTATAATAGTTATACTATACTTATTTTAATACAAATAAATATTATTTCTGTTACGAGATTCATATTCACTTGGTGTTTCTTTTCTTTTCCATCAACTTTTCTGATTTTCTTTTAACGAAATAAATTTCGAGTAACCACGAGATTGTAGTTAAATAAGTAAACAGATTGAGACAATGTAGCATTATCGTGTAATTGGATGTTACATCCCTGATCCAACCAACAATTGGTCCTAATGTTAAGAATACTATGCCACTGGTTAATAATTGAATACCAGTCGCACCCGGAAGTCTTGATAAGGGAACGTGACTTGAAATTACCAAAGCTACGAATACTGTTCGTAATGCTTTCCCAATACCGATTAAGATTGCAACTGCTAAAGTCACTTCATAATTCTGTACGTGTGCCAGCACTGAAAAAGATTGATTCATTTTAATCCTCATAATCAATGAAATCTATATTATTATCAATTTTGATTTTCATACAATTTTTCATTGAATTTGCTTATTTCTTATTGTACAAAACAATTCATCAATGTTTTACCTATGCGACCAGCTGCTATTCCACAGACGCCAACTAAGAAAAACGTTCTATTTTGCCATCCAATAAAATCAGCAACAAAAGGAATAATCAACCTGGTTCCGACATCTACACCGGCTAAAAGTGACATATATGTTGCTACTTGTATTTTCGAATATCCGTATTCCCCTAATATAAACGGGGTCAATAGAGAGAAATTCAGTTCTGTGAAATTGGCAAACGTCATACCCAATAGTATATTAACATAAACAAGATCGCGTAATAAATCTAAATCAAAGAATATTATTATAGCTTCTAAGAACGTTTTCTTCGTCTTTTCTTCCGTATATTCCTGTAAATAACAATTAGATAAAATTTGTACTGATAATTGTACTAGGAGTACACTTTGGCCTGTTTTTAATTAAAATATCAAATCGTTTGTTTTAATTTTTGCCATTAAACTCACATTTCTTATTAATTGGTCAGTTTCAACTTCTTCTATTATTACTGGCTTTTGTTCTAATTTATCATTACAACTCGGATCTTTGCAATGTTCAACGTCCTCTGATTGTTCATTAGATTCGTTGACAATAATCAATGGAACCATAGACTTTTGATAACTGGAAATCCTTCTTCTACTTTTTTCTGTTTCGCTATTTTGCCTGCAAATATTTATAGTCAATATTTATTTGTGAATTAAAAAAAAAAAAAAAACAAAGAACAGGTGCCTACTTACAAATTTCACTATTACTCAATTTTAATAATAGTGAACTTTAGAATATTTTTTACAATTAATAAATTTTTAATGTTACTATTTATAATAAATATTTACCTAGTAAGGTTGCTTACCGACGATCCTGCATTAAGATTAGACTGTCTACTCAAATCCATCGATAGTCTAGAATTCATCGATGAGTTCTCTTTCCTTGATGCCTTGGATACTATAGATGGAGTTGAAGTATGTCTTCTGGAAAACCTATCTCATACATTCGTTTTTTAAATTTATTATTTAGATAAATCTTTTATATAGTTCATTCATACACACCATCCGTCATTAGCTCGTGACATCATAGGTGTTCCAGGTTCCATTACATCTATACCAGAAGGGCCATCTTCTTCGTCATCATAATACAAATACTGACTTCCAAATTTTCCTCTTGAAAGATTTAAATTGCTCTGGGTATTTTCACCAATATCTTCTAATGATTTGGAAGTACTTTGAATATTCTTTTCACGATTTTGACGAGGATTTTCTGTCGTTTCCTAATTAAAGTGTTATTACGTTTGACGTTATTTTATTAATAAATAGTTAATAGCATGTAAAGGAAGGCCTACTGAAGACAGGGGCAGAAGCCCCATAAGTCGCAAAACTTACGGGAGTGGAAGAGCGCGGTACATCATAAAATATTTAAAAATTATATTATAAAATTATTTATTAGTAATATTATACCTGATCAGGTAGAGGTAATCCTTGGGATTCTACATTTATACTATTATTTAATTTATCTATGTCTTTCTCCTTTTTAACATGCCAATGAACTGGTTGTAATAAAAGTGCGCAAACAACAGCATTGAATGCGAAACTTCCAAAAATAAGAACGGTACCAGTCACCCCATATAGTGGTATCAATTGTGTGATTATCTAAAAATCAACAACATTAACAAATTAGCAGCTACAACTTATTTGAATCTTGTTTTTTTAAGATTAATATATTTTTCTATCCTTCTGTTACAAATTTTGCAATTATAAAAGTGTATCTATTAAATCTATATTATTTCATCTAACAAAATTTTAAATAAATTTTTATAACATTTTTTTAATATAAAATATCGTTACTTGTGGCATTACTATGGGTCCCATGCCAGTGCAGGTCCAGCTAAGACCAGTGGCAATTCTTCTTTTTTTCTTAAAATAAGTATTCAAAGCTAAAGAGTTTGATGACATCGTAATACCGAGACCAGCACCTAAAAATCGATAGATAGCTCTTGAACAGCGGAGCTTGGATCAATCAAGACCCAAACTTACAAGAATGTTAACTTAAAGTTAAAATTCGCTTAACTTACCATATAAAATTGAAAAAAATATTATAGATCCGGTAAAAGTTGTCATAGTTGACAATATCGTAATAGAAATAGCACAAACAAGAGCCCCTACGAATGCTACCTGTCTACAACTGAACTTTCGAAATAAAGGACCATTAGCTAGGCCTATAAAACAAAAAATTGATGTGCTATTTTACAAATTTGCAGTATTATTAAATATTAGAAGTTTAGAAAAGAAGGTAAAAATTGATTCAACGTAATCAAATATTTGTTTCATTAACCTGAGTCAAATTCCTGGTAAAATTCTTTATCTACTTTTATATCATTTATCGCTTAACATTCTACATATCTAGAATTACGAAACAGTGAAAAGAATTGTTGCACTAATTAAGCTCAATAATAAGCACGTGTTATTATTGGGACCATAAAGTATTATAAATTAATGACGAACGAGCGTATCAGTGATAAGAGTAAAAAATACAGAATCATACAAAAATGTATGATAAGATCATTTCTTTCTGTCGATTCATGATAACGAGTCATCGTCTGTTAGCATTAGACAGTTGATATTGTAACAATATTTATGAAAGATATAGTGTAGTTATGGTAAATCTTTTCCAGCGTTGATTTAGTGTATGAACAAAGAAAAATATGAAAGATTAATTAATAAACATTAACATACCGAGGCAAGATGTTACTGTACAATTTATATTTAATATTGTTGTTATTTGAGACGAATTGATTCCTAATTCTGCGAATCTGTCTCTGAATATTAATCCGAAACATTGCAATACTGGAAATGTACAAAACTGAAAAAAATAACATATATTGTAACATCTATTTATTGATTTATCCGTGTGAAAAATAGCTGAAAAATAATTTGAAATTTATTTTTCACATTTCTATTTGAAAAATTTATAAATTTCAAGTTATTAAAGCAGTATTCAATCAGTATTCAGTAATACTCACGCAGTATTTAATTTATTAATAATTTCTTAGTTAAATTTTCTAGCAATTTTCAACCGAAATAAAATTAATTATTACTTACATTAGAAAAACCAGCAGCCATCACAATAATCCACCCCCAACCACCATCAGGTGCCACAAAACCTTCGCTACCATTATCTATTTTTTTAATTTTGTTTTCCACTTCACTCTTGTTCCCATTAACTATCAACTCCTTTTGTCTAACTGACATAATGATTGTTTATCAGTGACTTAATTAACACAAACTTATCAACCAACAGCCTAAACATGAATTCCTTTGTTTTAATTTTTTTTAAAACTAAAACATTGTATGTTATTTCATCAAAATAATGTTCGATGACGTCAAATGCTAAAAATCCAATCACGCGACATCGCGTGTTAGGTATGGTTAATATTTAAACATTACGACACACAACGATTGACTCGCTTATCGTGTTAAATAAAACTTTGAATTTATTAACAAAATTTATATTAATAAGCTCATGTATTCTTAAAATAGAACACTATCAAGAAAAAGTAATTGTAGGATTTGAATATTCTTTATTTAATTGATGATCTTCGTTATAAATGTTTTTAAAATTTTACACAGGTAAACTGACGTGTTCACGGTTACTATTCAAGGTTTATACTGCACCTTGAAAACACACTAACTTGTGCCACGATAGTGCTTTAAACTAACGTTACTTCGAGTTTCATAGTTTTAGATTATCCACCGTTATAAATGCTACATTAACTTTGATAACTGCATCCGGACCAAATATTTTCTCGGCTATGTACACTCTATACTTAACTCTATCTATATGTTTATTTTGTACAAGAGATAACGCTGTTTCATACTAACGCTTTGATATTTATCAATTAATCCTTGAACAATATTTTCGCATAACTTTTTATTTATGTACAAGTAATTAATTTACGCTTTAATTCATTAATTAAATTCAACAATTGCGTACGTTTTAACTGTGACAATCTTTTAACTTCACTGCAGTCACATCCCCCTACTCTCCCAGTTTTCAGAACATATTGTATAATTACATCTGTTAAACACAATACATAAATTCCACAGTCATATCCATTGTCCTGCTGGGGACAATCAGCTTCTACAAATTTTCTATTAAGATTATCTTCATTAAGAATGCAACTCATTACATTTTTTGCAAATTTTGAAGCAATGCTACTATTGAAACCTTTTGATGAATCAAAATGATAACATGTCTTCTCCTGTTTGGAATATACTAATAAACTCCAGTGTGATCCTCCTGCAGCATCTTTTTTGTCACAATTATTCAAAGGAAAAATGATACATTTGGAGTTTGAAACATTAACAGGATCCAAGAATATGGAATATTGAGATGGATCTGTCATTTTTAGTAACTGTGTTAATTCTGGGCTTATGAAATAGAATTCTTTTTCACCAGTTCCATTGTATCTTTGGTCTAGATATTCAAAGTAGAATCCTATTATAACATCGTTCAGCCAATGTGTTCCTTGAAGTAAAGCAACATCACTAGCTCTGAGTAGACAGTCATAATAGCTGAGAACAATTTCATCTGAATGACTTTTTGCCATTTTATTATATGTATACTACTAGATTTCCTGGAACCTGAAAATCAATATTTAGAGTCAATTAGAGTAACATATTTATTTACAGGGGATTTAGGATTAAAATATTTTTGTACACAATAAATAACAATTGAAATGACTGATACTCTTAATTCATATTACTTACATTTTAAACAACCTTTAAAAATTATTCAGTATATTCTTAAATAAGTATTTTGGTACTCATATGAATAATTTGACCCTTTTATTTGTAAACATTCATAATATCATCATTAATGATTTTTTTCTGTTATTATTAATTATTTCCTTAATAGAACTCAAAACATTTCTCATCCACTTTCTAATAATTATAAATCCAAATTTATACGTAATTTAAATAGGAAATCATATGTCATAGTGGCAATTTTTTGAGGTTATTTACATTATCAAATTAAGGTTATAGATATAGGATATTTCCAGGCTGGTGACACAGTCGCAAAGAGTGATGAATCTATATGAAATAGTAAGTAGAAAATGTAGAGTAATATCTTTTTATACGAGGTTCTGTTGCTGATTAAGTTGATATTAAAGATTGATCGAAATTCATGTATTTTAAAAAGACCGCCATAAATTAAAATCTTTAAAATTCGATCCTATCGCCATCTATACAAAATAGGCGTAAACTACTCAACGAGTTACCGATCGAATTTTTTTTTTTAATAAATAGTTTGCGCCTTTTTTGTATAGATGGCAATAGGATCGAATTAAAAAAATTTTAATTTATGGCGGTCTTTTTAAAATACACAAATTTCAATCAATCTTTAACATCAACTTAATCAGCTTTTATGAGAGATTTAATTTTACAATTAATTTATAATTAATGTGTGACGTCGCCGAAGGCTTTGGAAAATTTGAATTACTGTTTACTCGTTACTCTACAAAAAATTACAAGTTCAACTATGCTAAAAATGTATTTCGTTTGCTTTTAATTATTCTAGTTTTATTATATATTATTTTATACATAAGAAATGTGATAATAATATAATTCAAATCATAATTAATATTTCTGAAATATACAACCATTTTTTATTACAGGTATGATATTCATATAAATGATTAAACTCTTATCTTTTTGTATGTATATTTTTAGTACTTATTGATTATAATTCACTTATGTTAATCTTATAAATTTTAAAATAAAACTATGCTCTTTAAAAAATCTATGAATAAAAAAAGACTAAGTAATATCTCCAAAAAATAATACATCATCTAATTTTAAGTATAAATATCTAGAACCATTCTAAAAACTTCGAAAAATTCTACCAAGTGGCAGTAGAGCTCATAATATCATCATAATTTTTATAAATAAAACAAATTCATATCAGTAGAAACATTTCTTTTAATTATTAGTATTATTATTACAATAAATGTTAAATAAAGTGCTCATCACTCATGAACCATGCTTGTCCAGCAAGCTCTCTTTTAGTTATTGTTTAATAATTTGCATGTAGTAACTATTTGTTGCATGATAAGGAATTTAACAATAGCTCATACCTTTTTATGATAAGTTTGGTGGTAACATAAAATGTCTATAATCTTGTAATACTAAGGCAGCAATATTAAGGGACTTTAGAACACCTATTTCTTTATCAGCTGTTTATTATTTTGAAGAAATATATATAAACAAAAAGAAATTTACTGTCCTATGATACATAATTATTTAAACACAAAATAATTCTGTATATTGTACAAACTTATCTATAGAATTCTTTAATATTATTATATGTTAATTAAAGTACCTTTACAATATTCAATGGTTGCAGGATGTTTCAAGAAATATTAATCACATAAAAACAATGTAACATGTTATTTTTTAGCAAATAAATTAAAGACACTATTTTTAAATACATATAAAATTTTAGCTGATATTACATAATAAAAGGTAAAAATTGGTCTGAAACTCTTTGATCCTTTTTAATTCACGTATTAAAACTAATCTTTATAGTTGTATGTATGTATGTATGTATGTACTGTGATTCCATCCATTATCTGAATGAAAATTGTTAATATAAACTGTACATTAAAATCAATATGATTAAAATGACAATGAAGAATAGTAATATACCTTTTGTTAGAAGGATTAATGTATCTTCACAAATTATGTTTGTGAATTAAATACTTAAAAATGCCACCTAAATAAACATTGAAGACGATATTACAAACTTTCTGTGTACATAATATCTTAAGTTAATGTTGCAAACGAATGAAATATTTCTTGATCACCCTATACATACTCATAAAATTTTTGTAAGATGATGGTATATATATTATTAATATTTACTTACATTTCTCCATTGTATTAAAACAGTAACAACATATATTCCTAAAATATCCAAGTCCGTTTGAATGTCATCCGTTTTGTTGTTCTCACAAACTGATTCACTAATAAGAAATCTTCACTTTGCACTTCTTTTTTTCTACTTACATATCACATTGTACAATGTTAATAATAGCAACATATACATGACAAGTTAGTAACAAAATGTACTGAAAATGTATCTAAGCACATACCAATCAGGGATGAGTTTTTCGAAATTGAAGAGTTTCAAGAGTTTAAAGGATTGAAAAATTCCAACCCACCCCTAATATTAATTAAAAATTTATATCAACTTTGGAATTTGTATACAACACTGAACTGTTCCCGCGAAACGTTTAATTATAAATCATGGCAATACATCAAGATAATTTTAAATGTGTGATACGAATGACCTTCATAAATAATTATATTTTTGACATTCGAGTACTTTACTGCCACCTAGTGAAGTTATAAATTTGAAACGAAATTTTTCGAAGTGAACCTAACGTAAGAGAAGACCCTAATGGAATCGTAAAAATTGCTCGTCGTCAGAAATGTGCAAAGAATTACTTTCATCACTTTATCGTTCAGATAATTAGCGGAACTGTGGCACTTAATTCGACATTAAATGTCCGCCACGTAAATACTGTGTCTATAAACATATTTGCAGTCCATGTGCAGACACAATAAACATGGAGAAAATATGGGACAAAATTCAGCACAGTGCAATCTTTTTTGTTTCTGAGCTGACATGGCACTACCCCACACACAAAGTACTCATTCACACTTTTAAATCCTGTTATTTCTTTTTTCTTTCGTAATATTTAAATATGAACATTCATAATTCAGCTATCAAGTGTATTAAATAACAATAATGGAAATGGCTAATGTTCTAAATCTGCTTTACACAGTCGAGCTCAAGGTATTTGGTCTGAATTGTATGATCTTTAACAATGATTGCATCTATTCCGTTTCAAATTGCAACTATTCCATTTTAGACTGCAACTAAAATTCATGCAAAATTGGTAGTCCCAAGTATCCACGCTAGTACCCAGTATTTGCTTTATACACTTTGTAGTTTGTAAAAAGGCTGTTACTTAGTAAATGCAGCAAATACAGCCCAGAGAACTGGATTAGCATTAGGTTTAGCAGCTTCCGCTTCAAAGTCGAGGTCTAATAATGTCCGTACTCGTCGCATTGCTACCTCATAATCATCGTCAGACAATGGTGCAAATGCGTTTTCTAAAACGTCGGCTGCATGAGCTAGGATAACTAAAGCTAAGGTTCGCCTGTCCATACGGCCGGCATCATTGACCCAACGACTTAATACAGCTTCTTGAATCTGAAAATATAAACGCAAACGTGTGTAAAAAGCATGAAGCAGGATTCAAACAATCTAATCACGTTTCACGCATGTTCTCGCATAGATACACCTACATTCATAAACTGAGATAAGATAAAATATAGACAGTAATTACAAAACATTACAAAACACACGATTTACCTTTTTTACAAGACGACTTTTGGCAAGGTTGTCAGTAAGAGGATGGGTTGTCATATCAAAGAGTAAGAAATTCTGTTTCTCAGTTGTTAGAACACCTTTTTCTACAAGATTTTTGGCTAATCTTTCTCTAACATTTTTCAACTGGTATCTTAATTTTAAAGGATTCCATGTCTCCCCTGAATCAATTTGAATTAATAGTAACAAAACAAAGCAGGTATGTTTCCAAAGTACCTAAATATCAACTAACCACTGAGATATTCAATCCAACTAGGAACAGTTTCAGGTGGATCGGTTTCTTTTAAGTGTTTCAAAGCTTCATCTAATAATACATCCCCGGTAGGAGCATCATTTTTTAGCAGGAGTTTCCTGACTAATAAACCCTTCTTACGCATACCAGCCTTCTCCAACTCTACCCGCCCACGAAATCCCAGTTCTGCCAAAATACAACCACGTAGTCCAGAACTTATGCAATCATTCCAGAAGGAAGTGTATCCCTGTAAAGCAATGTATACTTCAAAAATACATTATTGAAGAATCGAAGGAAGGCAGAAAAGTGACATGAACAAACCTCCTTGTCCTTTAAACCAAGTAAGAGAACCTCCTCCATAAGTGTTAATCTGGTTTCTTTGTCGGAATCGTCGTCGATAGTCGGGTTCGAATTAAGATCCTTTTGCATGGAAGAGTCTGTATCCGTATGGCCAGATAATTTATCATTGTGGCCAATATCGTTGGAGCCATCCTGGCCTAGTCCACTACTACTACTGCTGTTAACCACACGTCTACGTTGTACTAATCCGTCAGTGCGATTCATCATTCACTTTTGTCGCAATTATAATCGCGTGTCAAAAACGCCACCGTGTTAATATTTCCTCGGAATAATTAGGCGTGTAGTCAGCCGTAGTTAAAGCAAGCCAGCGACATGTATCGAGTAGTACACACTATACTGTTGACGTTTTGACCGATACGACATATCTTTCCAAGATGGCCAAATCCCTACAGCACGTCGTTATTTTATTTTAACGATACTGTTCGCATTTATTAATCGATCTGGAACAATGAACAGGTCCCAGCGCGTTATATACACCACTATTGTTCTCAATGTAATGCCTTGTTTCGACACTGATGTTTTCAGAAAGAAATCTACGGCAATTGAATCGAGAAACTGTCGTCGAGGCTGGAACGCGAATCGGGTACCATGTTGCTTAGAAGAGAGCTCTCTCTTCGTTGCTAGTTTTACTGCGATCGTCGCGCCAATTCGCAACAATTTCGCGCGAACGTTTCAAAAACATTCGACGATGCGATTACTGAAAATTTTCGTTCATTTTACTGATAGATAAGCGTGTATTTTTGTAGCTTCTTATAATTTTGTAAACATACCTCAGCGGATATTTTAAGAACAGTTAAGTGGTTTTATCAGTTCAGTATATCGTTATTAGATAGCCTATTAATAATATTCTATGATAACGTCTTAAAAATATTATTTTTATTCTATAATAATTTACCATGAATTATTGTATGCATTTTGTTTCCATTATTTCATCAAACAATTGTAATGGCGCAGTGTACAATGAACCAGCATACAATTACGTGACGCGCTACGTTCAAAGGCTGCTCCATTTCGCAGAAGTCAGTTTTTCTTTATCATAATGATTCCGTTGAAATATTTGTCAAATAACGGAATAATCTAACCCGGATATAAGATTGGGATCTTTTCGTATTGTAATCAATATAGCCGCTTAATTATCTTTAAGTAGAAAGAATCCACGCGATAGAAGCTACTAATATTTGAATGGAAGATTCATTCCATCTTTTCCACGTCTTTATTAGAAATTTTAATCAGATATTACTTTACAGTTCAGTACCTGGTGCATCCATGGGACAAACCGTGATCGCGATATTGCTTGATAGCACCCTGGCGAATGATAACCGTACGATAACATTAATGGTCGGTAATCTTATCGTGGAAGATTTTTACATGGAAATTATGGCAAAGAAAAGATGTCGGAGGCAAAGTAACGATCAATTTTTATCGCTTCTGAACAATGGAGCGAAACGAAAATTACAGTTCAGAATTTGCCTGGAGAAACATTAAGTTTTACAGTTAAACCACGCACGTGTCCTCGAAAGTAGCAATAAAGTGATACTTGTATTCGTGTAAAATGTTTAGTACTTCAGCGAGGTGAGGATAATCACTGTTTTATCGGGGTCACTGACATCATGGCCGATCGTTGCGTACACTGATATTGAGCTTAATGACCGTTTCCCGCCGTTCAATGTCAACTGTTCAATGCCGGTGGCCACATTTGCATGTACTACAGGGGCAGAGCTGCGACTATCAAACGATTCACAATTTCAATCGTGCAACCGAGAGATCTCGAACAGCACTATCATTGAAATGTCAAACATTTTTTCTCACGCGCCTTTCCCTCTGCAACAGTTACAACAATTCTCCTTTCCCGCTCAATGTCAATTCCACGCCTAATCTGCATAACTTACGAATCTCTACGGTACACAGACGAAGGTGAAGACAGTGACATTCTAGATCGCCCTCGTGAAACATATGGCATCGATGGAAATCGATTACTTTCCAAATATATCGAGGAAAGAATTTCGAAAAATCTGAAATGCGACCCGTAACTTTCTTATCGTGTTTTCGCAAATCGATCGGTCACCGAGCCACGAAAACAAAGATAGTCTCTGTAGAATTTCTATTTGCACAGTGTAAAATAAAAAAGGTAAAGAGACGGTAGGATGGAGAGGGAGCGAAAGAGAAGGTCGGAATCGAGGCTGTCGGTGAAGGCGCAACGAGAGGTACGTTCAGTCGTACGGACCCGGTCGGTCGGTCGGTCTGAAACAGTACTCGTTGCTCTGTCAGGTCTTCGATCGTGATACTTTTCACTGTTAATTGTGAAAATCCATCTTCGATAACGGATGCAAGGATGATTCTGTGCCAGAGTTATTGATTGTGCATCGATATTACGCGAGGACAGGTAGTCAGGTGAGTCTGGTTAAAGAAAGGAATTTCTAGAAGAGATAAGGTGGAGTGTTATCAAATTAACGACGCGTTAAATTGTGAATATCGTTGGATTTCAACAGCTGTTTAAATATGCCGAGTGATCGATAGGTATCGAATGATTTGCGAAATGTTTTCAACACTTTCGGGCACGTGTACGAATCTGACCGAGCGGAATTTCATTCTCGAGCTTGTGAATCGCAAACTTCCCTGCAACTTGGTCTCACAAAAGGGAAACCATGGGAAGTATCGCGTAATCCTATTATCCGTAATTAACCGGAGCTTCGAAGACGCCACTTTAACGATGTGAACCACTTGTTCCGATGCTGATTCAAATTCGACGATGGTTGTCAGCATAACAGCTGATCGGGTGCTCGGTTTTGGTAAACAATTACTTGCACCTTGCAAAGCTAACCGTGATTGCATACTGATCTCATCGTGACTAATCCATCTCGGCAAACATACTTGTTCCAGAAGAGGAAAAATTTAAATGTCACTGGAATAGTGAATTAATTACACCTTGGTCGTTTGGTAATTATGTAGAATCTGAAAAACAAAAGAAAAAATATTACACAAAACCCAAAATTTGCATTTGAAAGTAGACTTACGCAATGTCCAAAACTATTTTCAACCGATGAATATGTTATTAACATATGAAAAGATTCACTCTTTTTCAGGGTTCTCTTTAATTATGAAATTAACGGTTTCAATTAGACTTTATCTAATTATTAATTCCTTACGTAATGGTTTGAATTAGTAATCGTCGTTGACGAGGAAAAATTGATAAAACATTACGGCAATTAAGCAGCTTGCGTTATCTCGTTATCTCGAACAAATTGCGTATAGATGGTAATTTTTCGAACACCCTGTATAGAAACTGACTACCATCTAATTACAAGGAATTTAATCAACTAACTAAGAGGATTGATGATCGTTGTCTCAAGCGATTCGTCTTAGTCAACGAGCCGCGTACTTTCATAAATTGATTCGTTCACGTGAAATTATTCGAAGCTACTGTTAAAACAGTCTCCTCTTTTTCCTGAGAGAGTTGCAGAGGAACGGGCCACTGTAAATCCGAACTGTTCGTAGTGTTACATTCCTAAGATGACTCAGGTGTGCCTCACAGTCGCCAAGTCCGATAGAAGCCTTCTGCTTGTTAACGAGTACCCAGTGACCAGCTCGTTTCTTAACATTTCCTTGAATTTCTACCTTTGTCCTACGATTTGACGCTTTCTAAATGAACGATCATTTACAAATATTAATAAACGAGGAAGCGTGGAATATTTCAAGCTTTCTAGGTGTAACTAACGAGCTATTTCATATGAAATAAATCTCCTTACATCACAGTTGTTAGTGTATAAAATAGAAAATTCTTCTATTTTAAATTTCACGCGTCGACGGCGGCCACGATTTCACGCGGAAAAAATTACAGAAAATGATCCAGCCGATTATTGGAGCGAGCTGGTTTCGGGCTTTCGAGTGAAAGTGCCTTTGCATTCTTCGTGTCGAATACCACCTTCCATCCAAGTGTATGTACGTTTGTAAATAATATTTAGTCGATTCAAATGTATCAGAATTATTTTCTAAACCGTTAATGTTTCTCCTTTGGAGAAATCATTCTGCTGCGTCAGGATAGCAGACAAAAATTACCGGACAATATCGCGCACGTAGCTATTTGCGAAACGACATTAATTATGCGGCACGTGAAACAGGTATTGGCGGGGCTCTTGCACTCCTTGTATTCAGACTTTCACTCGAAGTTCGATCAAATATTGACCAAAGTATTTGTAGAGATCTTAGTGTCCATTGGTACAACTAAAATTTTTCGATGGCCTCGGTCTCCTGGCTTTATTAATAATATTTCATTTTTAGAATATTAGAATGTTAGAATTATCGAGGTATATTCATTGAATATTTGTAATCTGAAAATTTTAACAGTATACTAAAACCTTAAAATATTGAGGGTACCAGTACCCTATGTTACGCTAATGGAAGTGTCGAAAATGAATACTTTTCCTGGCTCGCATTCCAGCATTTCGCGTTTAAGGTACCAGTTTAGTATCTTGATCGTCACGGTAGAATAAAGCGAACATTATATCCACGCGTGTTAGGCGCCCGAGTGTCTCTGAAACCCTTTCTTCCAGTTGGATAGTAATCCAGCTGACAGATATCGGAACAGCCTCGAGCCGATAGGGAAGGCCGTCGTCTACGTGTATGAATTTCGTGGACCGGTCCATCAGGTTGCGTAATTCGACGAGAAAGTAGCTACAAGAAGTAGCTTCTTCAGAGACTCCGAAGACGCGTGCATTTTTTTTCACAGTTCATTCATTTCTCTAGTTACACGGCAGGGAATTAGCGGACGCCTACTTCGGGTACCATCTGCCCGGGGCTAAGGCTTAACCCGGTAACCAGCAACGACTTTTCATGATCCTCGTGTTCGACCTGAATCGCTATCCGCATGGTCATTTCTACGGCCGACATTCGGCGCATTGATATTCAACATGGTTGGAAAATCTTGTTTCGTATTCTTTACAAACGGGTCTGGCTACTGTTCACCTGAATGGTGTTCTAATTACAGAAACTGACATGGCCACAATTCGCCGCGTTAATACAGATAAAAAAAAAAAAAAAATAGCACCATCGAGTGTTCATCCAACGCGAAACTTTCTCAGTAGATTTTCTCAGATTCTATCCGTTCCCATATTGAGTCATCCCAGGTGATTACGTAAAGAGATTACTGAAATATCATATGGTCGATCCTGGTGTTAATGAGGATACTTAAGTAGCTTCCAGTTTCATCCTTCCGTGGTCTGGTTCTGATTAGGACGGCATCGCTCCCTCGTTCATTCATAAAAATCCAGCACCGGAGACGCTGGGTGTCCTGATTCTCGTTCAGAGATGAATGAAACTAGACACCTTTCAACGATCGACACCTCTGTCGTTCAAGGATTCTCTTTCGACCTATCTCGTTTCTGGTTCATACGATATTCCATTGGATGACCGCGAGAAAAATCGTCATCTTCTCTGCTGATTCGTAACTGTCTACTGCAGACGTGAGAAAACGCTAGTTAGACGATTGTCTGCTACTGGTTGCTTAGCTTTTCGATTTATGAGTTAGGATGGTGGCAGGATTCACACCTACGAACAGAGAGCTTTGAATAGAAGTTCCCAGGTGTAGTGCGTGGAAAAGACCAAGGACGAGGATCGTTCGGCAGGAAGAGGAGCGATTAGAAGAAGGAGCGGTTAAACCGGAAAGTCGAGCGTGGCCGGGAGAGAGCCCGAAGCAAAACGAACCACGCAGCCAGTTCTCGGGCCAACCATGATTACCAGCGTAATTGCTCGCGTCGTACGTATCCAACTTCCGGTCGTCAGCTCTTCAGAAAGGGATGCGTGGTCCAGGGATGGCGCGTGTCCTTGCGCGTGCCTCCAAAGCCGGATTATTCCGTCTTAACTTCACTCTGCTCGATTGTTCGTTACGATCCACGACCAGCCATTTTGTGTTGAAGATATTAATAAGGATCCTGTGTGGTTATTTTCTATAAAGCTTAAGCTTTATTTTAATGTATCACAAGTGTCATTTCGAAGAACTTTTCTGTCATGAAGGCCACATCAAATTTTACATTTAGAAATATGGTAGTCTTCTCTTTTTTTAATTTTATTTTGCTTAATCTTAGAGATAACAATGAAGCGCTGGCACCTTCATTTTTATCAAATTTCAGACTTTAATCTGATATATCGCAAGTACCATTTTCCAAAAGTTTTCTGTCATGAATTCACGTCAGACTCGAATGAGGTTTTTAACCTTCGCAGAGCTCCTTAAGTAGTTCCTGTCGACGCTGGTCAGACTCCATAAAATGAATCACTTGAAAATTATTCCGAATACGTGATTTCACGGAACGGTAGGATACAGATGAACACGATTCTAAGAACGGTCATTGCAATAAGTAAATGGTTTAATGGTATCAAGGTACGTTTTCTTAATAGATGATAAAAATATGACCGGTAAGTTGCGTACCAAGACAGCTTTCCGATACCTATATCTCTTATAACCAGTTCTCTGAGAAGATGCGATCGTTACATCCGGTCGTTCTCCATGAACTCTGAGGAAAGTCAAGCGGCTAAGCGGAATATGTCCTTGCACGCTTTTGACGTTCCATTCCCTCCGTAGAATAATTCAAAAATGGTTAACGCGCGAACGAACGCTATTGGTTGACAGGAATAGCGTAATAAACGTGGATAATTACGGAACCAATCGGTTATACGAGAGGAAACAATGGGAGACGAGAAATAGGCAAAACTCCATCGTCCAAGCGGTTTCTTCTGGTTAATTCGTTTTGAAAGCCCATCAATATTCCCGTGGCACTTCCACAACGTGTACACACCAAGAGAAACGAGTATCCATCGTCGAAGCGTAGAAAGCATTAAACCGAAAAGTCACGTACCGCGTAAACACGCATACGTTTTGATGCGACCTTTCGATTCTTCAAAACGTCAACCGAGGTCGACTGAAACGAATCCATCACCGTTACCTGCCCATCTGAACGAAAGGATTAAAGGAAACGCTAGATTGTTTCTTTTTCTACCGATGGATTGGAAAGTCTGAAGGAAAGTGAAATGCAGGAAAACACTTTTTCAGCGGAATGAATTAAGATAATTGATGTTTGAACGATGAGCTTGGAATATTTTAATTGCAGGAATAATTGCATAGGAAAATGATTTACTTGAAAATTTCCCTTAAAAGTTATGAAACCCTTTCGATCAAAGGACTCGTGAGTTACTCGGTGTATGTACAACGTGATTATTCACCTCTGTTGCAACTATGTTTGATAAAGATATACCACGTTCATGGTAACTCGACGGCCTCAAATTGTCTTTCTTGGGATCACGTTCAGAATGGAGAAAGGGTTGTCCAACGATCGGCCTTGAGTCTCCGTCCTTTACGCACACAAATGCCTCTAGATATATGCATAAATGTCAACTACAGG